ACCGGCACAACCAAATCACTCTTAGCTCCCCAAAATATCGACCACAATTATCACAAAATCTTCCCAAAATTGGCACAACCAAATCACAATCATCACAAAATCACAAAATAATTGTTAAAGAAGAACAGCAAATCTACATCACAAAACTTCAAAACTACATCACAAAACTTCTCTTGCCTTCCACCGGATCCGCCTTCGGCCATCACCACCGTGGGCCCTCAGCCGTTGCCACCGCCGCCGTCGGTCGTCACCACGCCATCCATCTGCGGCCACCGCCGACGCCACCACTGCTCTTGGTGGGAGAAGAGAGGCGGCGGAGGGACTTCCGCCGGATCCGCCCTCGGCCATTGCCACCGCGGCCCTCGGCCACTGCCACCGCCGCCGTCGGTCGTCGCCACGCCATCCATCTGCGGCCGCTGCCACGCCTTCCATCCGTGGCCGCCGCCGACGCGACCACCGCTGCCGGAGGGAGAAGAGAGGGGCGGAGGGAGCCGCCGCTACCGGATCCACCCGCGGGGCGCCGTCACCGCTGTTCGTGCGCTGCCGCCGCGCGGAGAAGTGGACCGCCGCCTTCACTGCTTCACATCTTTTTTAATTAGATCATGTCATTTACTTTTGGGCACATGTTTAATCATTCGTCTTATTAAAAAAAATATGTAACTATCATTTAATTTATGTTGTTTTGAGTTGTTTTATCACTAAAAGTATTTTAATCACGATTTATATCTTATGTATTTGCATAAAATTTTTGTATAAGAAAAATGATCAAACATATGTCTAAAAGTCAACGGCATCATCTATCATCTATTATATAATATAAGCAATTTTTTTCATAAACCGTCACTTATAAACTGCTATAGGTGCCGGTTTTTTTAGCCACAGGGTGTTCGAGTGAGAAAAAAATGACACAAATCTAAAACCCAGCCAAACGTCGACAGAACTGCACCGCCAGCGTTTCCTACGCTTCGATCTGTTTCACAAAATCGGAAGAAGCTCAATTCGAGCATGCTCTATCCAAATCATATATTGATGCCTAAATCAATACAGCAGAACATGCTAGATCGATGCCTAGGTCAACAAAATCATCCTATCTAAAAATTGAATCAAACCGGAAAGATGTGAATTATTAATGTCCCTGTCCAAAAAAGAAAAACTAACTTCTCAAATCCACAACATGTTGAGGTCACATATGTTGCCGTTGCTTGCCCGAGGCCGAGGCTAAGGACGCCACCGCTCCCGCTACCTGCCAAGGCCAAGGCCGCTGCACATCGGGGTCATCGCCACCTGTACCGACGCCATCACCTCTCCCGCCGCCCGACGAGGCCGAGGTCACTACTCGCTGTGGTGAGGCCATCGCCTCTCCTGCTGCTCGACGAGGCTGATGTCTCTGCTCGCCAGTTGGGGCCACCACCGCCATTGCTGCCGCTCGCACTCGCACTGCGCTGCTCGCGTGTGGATGTAGGAGAGATCGGTTGTGGGAGATAGGAGAAAGAGATAACAAGAGAAGTGGTGTGTGGCTGCGGGAGAGAGAAAAATAGATAAGGGAGAAGAGAAAAAGATAAAGTTGGATCTGTCTGCCCCTGCCTGCCGCCTCCATCTCCCGCCGGAAGGGAAGAGGGGGAGATAGAGCGGCACTGCCGGTGGCCTCCCACTAGAAGGGAGGGCGCCACCCCTGCCTCCCGCATCCATCTCCTGCCGGAAGGGAAGAGGGGGAGATAGAGCGGCGCGCTGGTGGGGGGAGGGGAGGGGGAGAGGCGCCGCTGCCACCGTTGAGAGAGAGTGGGGGGGAGGGGAAATGATTTTAGGGTTAGGGTTTGGGCTGTTGAACTTTTATATAGGTCGGAATCAATCAGAACTGTCCATCATATCGTATAGCTACGGCTTCTCCTGCGTCAAGCCGAACGCCATTCCCAAGCTGCCCACACGGAATAAGTTCACTTTATGTCCCTTAAGTTGCCCCGATTCTGTTCCCATGACATCCATACTATTGGGCTATATCATATAAAACTAAACCTTTATCATATAATATTTCTATATTTATTATATTTTTTTCAATGCACGGACATTTTTCAATGTCAAAAAAATTGTTTTAATTTACAGAATTAGTTTGCTCTATTTAAGCTTTTTAAAACTTTTCCTACTTCATATTAAATTATTTTTATCTAATGGAATTAAAGGATAATTAATTATATTTTTTTTTATCTTTTTGACCAAAGGTCACTGCAATTTTATTTCATTATTATTATTTTTGTCCAACAGTATGCATGATTAAAATTACCTTAATCCGTTGCAATGCACGGACGTCATTGCTAGTATATTTTAAAAAATCAACGGCAAAAACGAAGGGTGTACTTCTCACCCGAACTCCTCGAGGGGATGGCGATGAGGTTTATGTTGGTGCCAATTATTGGTTCGGTTTCGACTTGACTGATGCTAATTTTGGCTTATGTAGAAGTCTACGGTAAGATTCTTCTTTTTTTAGGTTTCATGCCCGGCAGTAGTGTTATCAGTTATCACTTATCACATCCCGTACGTCATTATCTTCAACAGTGTCAGGCCAGCTGAATAAATGTTCTTATGCCAGTATGCCTAATTAATGTACTTGGGTTTCACAGAAATGCTGCTACTATGGTTTGTCTAATTCGACGTACTACTCCACTTATTATTGAAATATTGACAATTAATGACACTATATTCATGATTAAACATTTACTCCCTCCGTCCCAAAAAAAAGACCAATCCTAGCAAGCATGTCCAGATACATTGCTAGGATTGGTCTTTTTTTGGGACGGAGGGAGTACCATTTTTCTCTCTCTTTTTTAAATAAATACTTGAAAATATATTATACTACTGAAATATGTAGCATGAAAAAAATTAACTATAAAACTTTTATTCATTATAATATAATCATCTAAAAGTAATTTGTGGTCAAATTAAGTAAAACAGTTGTAACAATCATTCGAAAATAGATAATTTTAATTTTACACCTTTTTTGAGGGATAATTTGGTCCTGTTTGGAATGAGATTTTATTATCCTTGAGTGGATGTAGTACTAAATTTGAACCATCCACCCAAGGGCTAATATTGTTTTGTACTGAGTGGTACCGCTCATTGGTAATTTCCTAGGCCTGTGAGTAAGCACGACTTGAACCCCTCACTAGGTAATTTCCTAGGCCTAGGAGCAAATTCAGGCCTAGTTTAGTTCGCGAAATTTTTTTTTTTTGTGTTACATCGGACGTTTGACCGGATGTCGGAAGGGGTTATGAACACGAATGAAAAAACTAATTTCATAATTCGCCTGGAAACTGCGAGACGAATTTATTAAGCCTAATTAATCCGTCATTAGCACATGTGGGTACTGTAGCACTTATGACTAATCATGGATTAATTAGGCTCAAAAGATTCGTCTCGCGATTTCCATACAAACTGTGCAATTAGTTTTTCTTTTTATCTACGTTTAATGCTCCATGCATATATCCAAAGATTCAATGTGACGTTTTTGGAACTAAACAAGGCCTCACTTTCTGCATGAATAGAGGAAATAAGAGTCTCCGTTTGGTATAGCTCCGACTCCTAAATTTAGCTTCAAGAGTTAGATTTGGAGTAAAGTTGTGAAACAGCCTAAACTCAGCTCTATCTCTCTAGTTCATTTTGTGAGAACGCTCCACCCAGCTGCGTTTCTATTTTAGGTGGAGCTGAAATTATTTAGTTAGGCTCTAACTCCAATAGAGATGGAGCTGGAGATAGAGCCGTGTCAAATAGGCCTTAAGTTTGCCTAATGTATACTCATTTAATACTTAAAAAGGTGGTACTAGTAGTGACAAAATCTGTCAGCCACTTACTTCCTGCTGTAAGTTTGTAATTTACCCTATGAACTTTATAATATTAAGAAACAATTAGATCTAAATGGATAGTTGCATATAAATTAAATTTGAAAAATGGATAGGTAACATGTTTTATGGAAAATATATTTTATTTTATCCGTAGTAAAGTATGGTATTTAACAAGTATTACAAAATATCTCTAACCTAGATGTACTGTTGCTACACTGAAGACTATCTCAACCATGTTGCTTTAGAGCGATAACAACCCAAGATCGTCTTGACCTATTTGGCACTATTCTATTATCATATACTACTTTTTTAGTCTTAAAATATATTAACCTAGTAATAGAGTACATATCTCTGTATAGGCATTTCACATGACTAACAAAACCGATTAAAATGATTTTTCTTCATAAGGATAATGTAACCCAGTTTTTACAATGTTATTTTTTATATAAAAAAAAGAAAGATGTAGGAGTCCATTTAACACTAACATAAATACCTAAATCAGCTTGAGATTGCAGCTCACCTAGTACAAACACATAATTAGATTGGAGAGCAATGCACGCAACATAATTAACGATGTGTGTTCATTGTATCTATTTGTACGTGTACGTTGTGCTGCAAGCCAAAGCAACCCAGGGAAGTCCAAGCAGAGTAGGCGACAATTTTGGCGCCAAGCACATGGAGAGGGAAACGGTTTCAACTCAGCCAGCCAATCAGATCACCTCGTTCTGCTGGTACTCTAGGTGGCGATCATTAATAATCCCTCCGTCCTAAAATAAGTGCAGTCATGGTTTTCCACGTCCAACTTTAAGTGTTCGTCTTATTTAATTTTTTTTTAAAAAGATTAAAAACATAAGTCACGAGTAAAGTACTATTCATGTTTTATCATCCTATAACAACAAAAATGCTAATTATAAAAAAATTTCAAATATGACGGATGATTAAAATTGAGCGCGGATACTCATGGCTACGCTTATTTTGGGACGGATGTAGTAATAGAAAAAGACGACGGCTAATTGATTCGTAATTCAACTCATCAGAAGAAAAAAGATGTAGAAATCCAACGGAATAATTGAATTGCTATTTACACACACACATCATTATCATCTAAACACATAACTAATCCCTCTTACATATATCGTAATTGCTAAACCATGTTCAATTGAAAAATTGAGATAAAATCTTGCGAATTTCTAACCTTTAGAGTTTCACAAGATATATATATATACTCCCTCTCTTTTTTAAATAAATAACGTCTTTAAACACATGTTTGATCATTCCTCCTATTTAACTTTTTCCTACAAATACATCATACTTAAACTATATTTTATAAAACAACTAAAAAATAATATTTACATAAATATTTTAAAGAAAGTCAAATATGTATAAAAAAAAGGGACACTCTGAATCTACTGTATTAACTAACTATAGATCAGCCGGCGTCGTCCCGCTAGTGGCCAACGCCGGGGCTGGGCACCGACCCGAGCATCCTGCTGCTGCGAGCTCCGGTGGTCGCCGCCGGCGGCGACAGCGGCAGAGGTGGTCTCCTCGGGAGCAGCATCTCCTCCTCCGGCGGCGAGGACGACGCCGTGCTTCTTCTTCCTGCGACGGCGGCGGCGGCGGCGCCGGCAGAGGATCCCATCATCATCGTCACGGCCTCCTGAACAATCTCCCCGCCGTCTCCCGGCATCATCCTGGCTTGCAAGAACGGAGCCGACGATGTCAGCAGCAAGAAGACCAGGAGCAGGACGGCGGCGACGGCGGTCATGGACGCCATGGTTGTCGGTCAAGAACTCAGAATTGGATCGATCAGGGCTAGCTATGGCTGAATTCTTGTGTAAGATTGATCAGGTTGTACAGCTGAATTCTTGTGTTTGGCTCGTGCAGGAGAAGGAGATAGCAGAGCATATTTATAGGCAGAGGAAGAGGAGGATGAAGAGGAGGAGATGCTAGTCGTTGCCCCAGTGCCCGCGAATCTAGCCGGCATTTCGATTGTTTTGCCACGTCATTATGGTCCCGTTTGAGTTCACTGAATATAAAGATTTTTTTACGAACACATAAAACGAGAAAATCGTTAATGTACGACTAATTAACTTCTAGTTATTATAAAATTAAAAATAGATTTAACTGATATTTTGAAAAGTAACTTCTACATAAATTTTTTATATGAAATATACCGTGTAGTAGTTCAAATATCGTGACAACAAAATACCGAGGTAAAAGGTTTATCTTAATTAGAAACAGAGCTATGCTAATTGATTAGGCTATGTTTGGCAACCTGGGTTAGGAACCCATGTGCTGCGCACGGAAAACAGAGCAATCTATTAATATGTGATTAATTAAGTATTAGCTTCTTTTAAAAAAAAGGGATCAATATGATTTTTATGCAATTTTCGTATATAAACTTTTAGAAAAACATATTGTTTAACAAATTGGAAAACGTGTACAAGGAAAACGAGAGAAGTGAGTTGAAAAAAGAGGGGAAGAACATAGCCTAAAGACTATTAGACCCTGACTTGTTAACCCAAAAATCATGCAAAGGAATAGCAAGTACGGCCTCGGCTCTATTAGACGGACCCTGACTTGTTAACCACCGTCCTCGTCAAAAACTAGTGCTTAGTACTACCCCCTACGTGTGCGACAATGGTGCGTCCCCGTAGAACAGGGGAATCGAGTCAAACGAGAGGGGCTAGAGTACAAAATGTACTAAGATGCTACTGTGTAGGAAAAGGAAAACGAGGGGGAATGCGATTCAAATCCGATGGAAATATTGAAACCGTGCCGGAATTGAAATTTGGAGTTCGGTCGCCGTCGCCGCCGCCTGCCTGCCGGCCGGACGGACGGCGAGTTTAATTGCCGGCGTATTTGGAAACTTCCTCGACAGAGATCGAGAGTCAGAGGAAGCTTCTAGTTCTGCAAGTTGCAGGTGGCTGTGCCTAGTTGCTTTCAGGGTATATTTATTTCTGTTTGGCAAGCTAATACCCAGGGCGAACACATGATAAAAATTGACCCGGGTCATCTAGTGCATGTATATTGTACTCGTAGCTATATCGAGTGACGTGGTGCATACATATTGTACTCATAGCTATATCAAGTGACGTGGTGGTGAGTAAGGAGGGGATTACGTCGAATCACAACTTGATAGCTAATGGGGGGTTTTAGGATTTAGGCACACCAAGTAAGAACTAGCCGACTAGAATGTGGCGGTAGATATCGGCCACAACGTACGACGTCACCTAGTGGACAGCGAGATACACTGCTGTTGTCGGACAGAGAGTATTGGAAGGAAGTACCAAGGTCGCTAGCATCCATGAGTGGCAACTCCTCCGGCGGCCACTCGTTAGACACGCTGCTCCTCCTCTCGAAGGTGATGGCTGGCTGCATGGAAGCGCAAGAATTTTTCGGTGAGTGTAGGACGACGCATCAATTTCTCGCTTCCCATCCTGATTTGTTGTTGATTGTAAATTAGATCGAGAGGATTGGGAGCGAATGGTTCGAGTATTGGTAGTGACACCTCAATGCATGTACAAAGATTGCGAGAAAAGTAACGAGTAAAAATTGATTGGGATCCTAAACCCCATTGGCTATATGGTAAATCCGTCTATGATATTACCTGCTTTCTCCGTTTTTTAAAAAAAACAACCTTATATTAAGATGTGATATATTCGTTATATTAGAATGTGGCAACAAGATTTTTTTATTGGAGGGAGTAACTCTAATGCTAGCTTAATTAACTACTGTAGCTGATTACCTGATCATCCAGTCAGGGTTGATGAATTAATGAATGAAACGCATGCATACCGGGTTGATTGCAATTGGTCGTACGCAAGGAATAGGTTTAAATACTTTCTTGAATTTTTACGTTTTACTTTTCTGTTTCACAATGTAAGTCATTCTAGTATTTCCACATTCATATTAATGTTAATGGATCTAAATAGATATATATGTCTAGATTCATTACCATCAATATAAATGTGGAAAATACTAGAATAACTTACATTATGAAACGGAGGAAGTAGATAATAACACGATCTTCAAAATAACGTTATTGACTATATTTTTTTATATATAAATTTATTTCTATTGTAGTAATTTGCAAGACAACTCTATATATGTTGTTATAGTGCCTTTAAATTAAATATTTTTAAAGATGTTGATAGTTAAAATTATAAAAGTTTAATTGACTATGGAACGGGATGGTGTAGGTCCCAACTGGCAGGGGAAAACCAACATCACAACATGCATGCATGCATGTTACCGACATGAATTCTTGTGTTAAGGATGTTGCTGGAAGTTAGAATGCTAGCTAACTACTTCTCAGGTCCTGGCTTTATGGATTAGTCGTATTCAAGCAATCAAAATAGCTTCTGCATTATTGGCCCACTATGCTCTATGCTGATCTATCGTACTACTAGCTAGTACTGTATTAAAGATTTAAAGGTGGTAACACTCTCAGGGGTGAAAGTCATTTTCTCAACAAATGCTTCAGGAAAACGGCGCTCGCTACTTGCTAACCTAACACATCTGATACTATATCCTACTGTTCAGGGATCAGTGTATCCGTATGATGTTTCAGTAAACAATCCAGTATTCCAGTGGGTCACTAGCTAAACTACATGTCACAAGTTGGTATATATTTGTGACACATATGCTCACTATATGCTGCTGATGATTTCTTAGCTCATTCATATTGCATCAACCATATATAGTATTACCAACTAAGGCTCTAATCAGCCAAAGAAAAAGCCAAATTTTAAATTTTTAAGCTTAATTTTGATATTGATTTTGAGATATTTTCAACGTAGTTTCTTTTTCAATATTAGCTTTTAAGTCACCAAGAACACATTTATAAAAGTTTCACCTACAAATTTATTTTTATTTCCTAATAAGTCGTTTTGACTTATTAGAAAATAAGCCAAACGATGAGTACCTAAACTATCTTATGATGAGCTAATTAGAGATAATCACTCAGGAAATGATGTACGTGTTTTGTCTGATCTGCTGTGTCAGGGGCAAAGAGTGGCTCTTCCTTCCAAGCCAAGCCTCCCTTAGTACTTACTTCTCCGTTCTAAAATGTAATTACCTAGTATAAGATGTGACATTACCTACTTCATCCGTCTAAAAAAACTCAACCTACCCTCCTAGGTTGAGTTTTTTTTGGACGGAGGGAGTAGTAATACGAATCTGAAGTGTTCTGTCCAGATTCATAGTCCTAGGTAATATCACATCTTGTATTAGATAGCTATATTTTGATACGGAGTAAGTATCTTATATTCTCTCAAGAGACTCCAAGGAGAAATGCCACAGATGAACCAACCAACTAACCTCATGCTGTTGCAGTGGCGCCTCGGAGACATACTCCTTCTGCATCAGCCATCTGAAAACATATACATGCAATTTATACATAAAAATGCAGTGGCTTGTGTTGCTCAACTGTGCATGGAGAATTGGACTCTTGGAACTTGGAAGGAATCCAGGAGGGTGTGTATCAGTCCATCTTGTTGCTGTTCCTTCCTGCCAATGCTTCTCTAGAAAGAACTTTATTTGATTTAGATTATTGAACAGATTAAACTTGGTTATAGAAATAAATTAGATATTTTAAGAACTAAACTTAAACTAAATAAGACCGACAGCAAAAGGGAACAGCTGAACTGAAGAACAGAGTTGCAACTTCGCACCATTTTATCTCCACTTTATAGATCCGAAAATAAACACAGCTCTCGTACTGTCTTTTAACTAACATATTCGCGTCAAGATTATGCGTCGACGTCCAAATATTCAACTTCACTTTTGCCTATAAAAGTAGGATGAGCATATCATCAGATCACTAATATATAAATGCGTTTCATCCAATAGCAATAAAACGACGCACGACTGGGGCTCATTCAAGTCAAAATCTGCGGAAAAAGTTGCAGTTTGGCATGTTGTTGAGAGCTGTAGCGATCGACCCGGAGAAATTCTGCACAAGGAATTAAGGCCTGTTTATTTTGTGAAATGAAAATTTTTGGTGCCACGTCAGACGTTTGACCAGATGTTGGAAGAAGTTTTCGGACACGAATGAAAAAACTATTTTCACAACTCGCATGTAAACCACGAGACGAATCCTTTGAGCCTAATTAAGCCATCATTAGCACATGTGGGTTACTGTAATACTTATGGTTAATCATGGACTAATTAGATTCAAAAGATTCGTCTCGCGATTTACATGCAAACTGTGCAATTATTTTTTCTTTATCTATATTTAATGCTTAATACATGTATTCAAAGATTCGATGTGATGTTTTTACGAAAAGTTTTTGAAACTAAACAGGGCCTAAAGGCTTGAATAGTTGAATTGATTTAGTTGTTATCAGCTGATCGGCGCATCTAATGCTAAGTAGCACTGTAGCAGCCGGTGCAGGGCAATGTGCTGTTTATTTCTTCTCCGGTTCCTGAACCTGCCCTGATCCCCGGTCGAGTCTGATGTGGCGCCACCTCTTCGCCTCGGACAAATCTTTCCAAGCATTTTTATTCGTGTTCATGTCCTTTCGATCATATTTATACCTACGTGAATCAGTTTATTTTAAAATAGAGGGAGTAATCTTAGTCGGTGATGCACTGATTAGTAAGTAGGCACCTAGGCCAACTAGTTAGAGGATCCAATATAGTAGCCGTAAAAATATTTTCCACGGAATAGATACGCTACTCCTTCTGGATCAAAATAAAATGACACATCTAATTGATCGAGGGTTGTTTGAGGGAGTTTTTGGTAGCTGCAACTTCTCCTAGCATTAAGAGCTCTCTCAAACTGTTAAATATGTGATCTGAATTTTGGGACCACAATATATTCGGATTTGTTTTCTAGTAGGAGTTTCTATTAGGTGTCTTTCTTTTATCCCCTATATATACTCTTGTAAGCCGTACGGGAAGGGGTGACGTTTCCATTGTGATTCCCTTAGTTTGTAATCATCTCCTCTATAGTGATTATTGCCGGTCGGCGCCCATAGTTTTTTCCCGCAAGAATTTTTCATATAAAAATTTGTGTTTCCGTTGTGCATCTATTTTCATAACACAAACAATCTATTTTTTCATCTAGATTTTTAGAAGATGTGGTTATAAATCCGTAAAATGATGTGTTTTTCAGCTTTTCTAAATTATTAGAAGTTAAATACTAATCGATTTTCCTAAGAATTTTGAACTCCAAACAACACTTAAATCACATACTAAAGCCGACTAGACCGACTTTAACTGATTAATCGGTGAAAACCGACTAATCCACAGATTACCTTTTGATTAGGGCGGTCTACCCATGTCTATCAAGTATCAACTGGCCATTGACTCGTAGGTCGACCAGTCAATTGAGCCAGTACACTCGCTTTCGTCAATTGAGCCAGGGTTGGGAGAGTTCATTTGCGGGTGCACGTGCAGTGCAGTCTTTTCGAATTTCGAGTGATTGAAAAAGAAAAACACACACAACCAAATGAGAGAAACCTAAGTGTACAAATTCGTGAGAATTCTGTGGTGTTTGAATCTCCTAAGAATGAAGACGAAGTTTAAATGTTTCACGTAAAACGATGTAGTAATAACATGTAATTAATTAAATTTTAACTATTACAAATTTAAAAAATGGATTAATCTGATATTTTAGAACAAATTTCATATAAAAAGTTTTCGCACGAAACACTCCGTTTAGCGGTTTGAAAAACGTGGTACGAATATCCAAAAATTAATACATCCTTTCCAGAGGAAACGAACAGGGCCGAAGACTGCACGTTCCATGGGCTTCACGGCATTAGGCTAGTAACAAAATACCGGCCCATCTACGTGAATGGGCCCTGGAGTTCAGTATACCGGCCCATTCGTGTACATGGGCTTCGATCTAGGCCCATCCAAACTAGGCCATACGGATTTTGATCGGACGGTTCAGATCACACCAGATTTCTTCCCCGTCTCCGTCACCCGAACCCTCTCAACCCATGGCACTCTCCGCCGCTCGCCGGCTCTCCTCCGCCGCCGGCGGCGACGCCGCGCGGCCTGGGACGCTCTCTTCCCTCTTCGCGCCTCGAAGCTCTCCGAAGCCTCGCGCCCCGCGGCCGGAGCCCGGGGATGGGCCACCGCAGGAGCGGAGGAAGCCGAGGGCGAGGCCGAGGCCGAGGTCGAGGCAGCCGTGGGGGGAGGAGGCGGCGGCGCTGCTCCGGAGGTTCTACGACGGCGGGTACCTCCCGGGGCCTGACTTGTCGGTGGCGCCGCACGTCTTGTCCCCCGACGTCGTCAAGGGCGCGGCCGAGCGGTTCGGTCATGATCACCAGGTCGTCGCCAAGTGAGTGCCGCCTCTCCGATTGCTTTGTTCCCTTTGCGCTCTATATAAGTTGTATGATTTAGCTACATCAGATGGATGCCACTAAATTACCATGAAACACTAGATTTTGTGAGTTTAATTCGGAATGCCTGTATTTTTTTTCTGTTGCATCTCTGAACAATATGTCGACAGTGGAAGTATGACGGTCGTTAAGTATCGATTTCGACCGTCAATTATCTCAATAAATAAAAATAGGACTAACATTTCTTACACGTACATTAGTTTCAAATAATGTACTTCCTCCATATTTCACAATGTAAGACTTTCTAGCATTACCTAAATTCATATAGATGCTAATAAATCTGGACACATATACAAAACATATATAGTGATCAACGGATACATCTAGATAAGTCCAAAAAGTCTTACAATATAAAACGGAGGGAGTATGTTGGTAGCAAGTTTGGTCTAAACTCTGGATATGGTGGGTGAATTCATTGCGTTTCTGATTTCGTTAACCTGGGAGAAGATGTGGTAATGTGGCCTTATAGAAGAGAACAAGTGAACAGCTACCCTGGGGAATTACCAATGTCTAGGTCTTCTTCAATTTGGAAATGAAGAGCTTAGTTTGTGGCAATGAGTTTTACCATGTAATTGGTTCTGCTTCCTTGTTTCAAATCTTGACTTTCTGGATTGTGGTATGCCGTATGCATTGTGCTGATGCTGCTGTATGTTTTGCAGTGGATTCTAACAATGAACTGCATTCCTTTTTTTTTCCTCTTACACTTTGGAAACTGGTTAATTGCCACCTACAGTGGGGGAGCTATCAGTCCTGAGCAGATTTTATAGGTTGAACACAAAACTATACTAAAAAAAATCATGAATTAACCGTTTACTTATCTGAAACTCTTCCATTTAACTTTCCGTGCTCTGAAATGCTGTGTTTCAAGATTAATAGTGATTCCAGGCATAATACATCCTTGTGAACAACACTGATCATGCTCCCTGTCCCTGCATATGCTACATGAGCTGGCCATGCTTGATATTTTGTTGAACAGTTCCTTTGGTCTTTTATGTTTGATTTTAATATTCTTTGGTAGTAGTATGTAAGGCAAAAAAATAAGTTGAAAATAACATTGAAGAACTATCTTTATCACCCAATTTCTCCGCTGTTGAAGCTGAACCTTGTGTGTGCACTGTAGATGGTTATCTGGAAGTGACTTGAAGAAGGTTGCGTTGTTTGGTTGTCCATCTGTTGAGCGAAGAACAGTTTTTGCATCAAAAAGACTACGAGCTTTCTTTAAAATCCAGGAAGCTAAAGTAGGTATCATGTAATTGTCAATTTAATCCTATGCGAGAATTACTTCTGTCAAAACATGCTTGAGGTTAACGTTTTGCTCGTTGTCCTCCTTCAGATATGCGGCTCTTGTAAGATGAGAAATTCATGCCAGTTTGTTAACCAGGAAGTATCTAGGCATGATAAAGTGATCCTGTCAGATACTATGAGAATTCTTACTTTATTCGTCCTGGATACATGTCCTCAGCAACTCAAGGTTACTCCTGAATTGAAAGCTAGCATTTGCAAGCTTGTCAAGGACACCATAAACCTAAGCCAATAATTACTAAGCAGATCATTTGTAACTGTAGAAGGTACTTGAAGTATACCAGGTAGACAAGCATTCATGTTTCGTACATTTTATTTACTTGATACTATGTGACAAGGTCTAAAACATAATTATAACATGTTTTTTTTTCTGGTGCTTTTGCCAGAGAGGTGACCAAATTTATTTGGATCAAATGGATGAAGCTCATATTTTGTTTGCAAATACTACCTGAAGGTTAGAGCGCTGACCTCGCATATTTATATTGTGTGTAACTTCTGTTGAGGCAGGGGTATGTGAACCTGACTGAGTAGCAATTGACGATAGCTGTAAACTGCCAAGCTCATACTGTTTGAATACATTATTTGATTCCTTTAAGTCAGTTCTGCATATTTATGAGGTTCCTTGTCTCTTAAGTATCTTGTGTCAGCTTGACGAGAGATACTCCATAGATTTTTCTAAGCTCCTTTGCTTTCAGAAGCCATTGTCTGTTTCAATGACCTTATAAATATTTATGAAGCCATTGTTTCAATGACCTTATATCAAGGAAAACATAAGGATATCTTGTTTCCTGTTTCCTGTGATTTGTTATTTTGCTGTGAACTCGTAAAAGTTTACATAACGCCGTACCATGATATCCTTTTTTCTTTAAACATCACCAACGCTTCCACATTCCAACACATGTATCACATACCATCTGATTACTTGTTTTTTGCACTTAAGCAACTCAACCTGATTGCACCGCAGAAGCAGATGCGCTGAAGCTAAGATGCAGTGGTTCACCCAGGAATCTTGCATCAGTCAGACTCCCCATGTGATGTTGTTTAGCTAGCTGTAAACCATTTAGTTTGGACAAGGTACCGTACCCCTATCACTCAATCTAACTCTTACTCTTTCTTTAATAACCTGTTCCTTTCGTGATTAGAAAAAGATCAGCCAATGTATGCCCTTAGCCGGCAATGCATCTGCCTTCAGGTTTTGTTGGCCATATTATATTCGAAGCACTATGGTTCATGTGCCCCTGAAGCTCCAATTGGCATGGATCCCCTTATCCTATCAGCGCATGCTAACTTGGTAAAATATGATGCAGTAGAAAAAGGGAGGCCCTTTTCAGACCAATGCCCCGTCACTTTCTACCTTTACCTTGTAGCCACGAGCTTTTCTTCTCCTTCATATGATGGAGATTCTTGTGCTGTATTCTTGTCCAACCATGGAACACTGGGTCTTTAGCAACCATTGTCACGTAGTGATGTAGTCGACAGGATCAAGAGTTCGTTTTCAGACTGACTGGAAACACTGATCTTTGGTGTGTTGTGCAGGGAGAGGAACAGTTTGGCTTCAGACTAACTGGACTGCTTCTCTGCATGGCACCTCTCTTGTAGAATAATCCAGGATAGCTGGTCTCCTGAGGCGAGGTCGGTAGGTCACTTCATCTATGTGATAATGTGAACCCTTCCATATTGCCGCCTGATGAGAACTGAATCTTCTACGGAAGTGATGCTCTACTCTCTACTCTGTTTTTTTTTCCTTTTGGTTTCTTTTCCCTAATCTCTTGGACAGTTCAGTTTTGATGGATTCTTCTGGCCTCGTGTTGATGATCAAAGTATTCAAGTCGTCGTCTCGTGCTGATGGCTGCTTGCTTGATTTTAAACTTCGGCTGAAACTCGGAGCCTCTTTCACATTTGTCCGGTCAGCGATTGCTTTTCTTCTCTCCCCCGGTTTGCCGCTTGCATGGTAGTGCCTGCCACTAGTAATCTAATAGCATAGGTCTTCTTGTTAACTTCTCTCACATAATAAGTCAAGTAGTAGTACTTCAGTTAAGCAAGATTGATCATGTCAGAAAGCATGCTATTTGAACGTTTTGAAAGGTTGAATCACAGGAGCGTGATGCATGCATCTCACTGATGCAGCAGAGAATCAGGTTATGTAATTTTTTATTCTCCTGGAAGAAGTGTAGAAAAGTCCACAATCCTTCAGTTTTGATCGTAATCAATCTACCATCAAGCTTCTAAAAAAATTGTATCATCAAGTGGAGCCCTCTATTAAGCTGGCTGGTTGGATTAATTAGAAGTGCATGTTGACAAGGCGGCAGAGTATTCAGCTGGAGAAATCCTTTGTGTACGCAAGTAGGACGTTTTTTTTCCCCTCTTTTTGAGGGAAAGACGCAAGTATGTTTTCTCGTTGCCTCTTCTATCGAATCACGGGAAAATTAATTCGGGTCTAAAAGCTCATTCTGCCTGTTTGAAACTTGAAAAAAAGAGAAAATGTACTGGTTTCTAAAAGAATTGAATTAATTTTGTTCCGTGAAACTTTTCCAGAGTCATGTGAAATGAACTGTTTTTCCTGGTGGAGTTGAATTCAGTAATACTAGAAAATTAGCGCGCCAAGTGGCGCGCTCATTATAGCCCTTGTGTACTTGCTAAGTAGTTTCCAAAATTCATGTCTATAAAAGGTTGGTAAATGAAATATTCAATGGTGTTATTAACCGATGCAACAAGTTAAGCTAAATTAGCTTCCATGGCACTTATGCTAAAAAAAAGTAACTATTACACTTTAAGAACAATCATCAAAAACTGGACAGAACCATAGATAAATATATATTTACATGAATTCACTAAGATAAAAAAGTCTGATACTACCACAGTTGTATACAATCTTTTTTTTTTAAAGAATACAGTCGTTTCCGGTCTAGCTTCTAGGTACGGCACAAAGAAGAAACACAACAATGTAGTTACACAAAAAATTTTTAGAACCATAGTCTTTCACATATTTTAAATCCGGAGGTCATGATTTCGAGCACCTTGTAGGTGGCAACAATTTATATCTTTGGTATCTTGCATATCCCTAGAAATATAAGGAGGTGAACACAAATTAGTTGGACCTATACTGACTATAGAAGGAGATCAATAGCAAGAGACAAGGTTAAGCCAGATTGTTCTGGTGGGTTAGTGGCACAGCAGCAAAAGCTATCAGAGACATGGCAGTAAAACTATGACTATTTTTTTTAGATTGAAACAGCAGTTCCAGATCTAAAGGAAAACTATTGTTAGTTCTTATTATGGGTGCATTCAACATCCACCCAACAAAACAAAAAGGATGGGGGAGAGGGATACAGAGAAAAAAAATCTCTTTAGGAAATATTTTATCTTTATATATTTGTCAGATAATCGCAAAAATACATGTTCAGATAACACTATATTTTTTCCATATATAGAGAATGTGGATAGAAATATAACAAGCTCATGATGTATTAACTTAAGAATGTGGTCATCATGAACAGTTGCAATCGATCGCAACTTCAAAATTTCTGAAGTAATACTCAGGACAATCCCTTGAATAGAACACTTGCAAGTTGCAATGAGCACACTAACCAATTATGATGCAAATGTTAGTAAATTGCGCCACTTTTATAGATCATTTTCTTTTGTCAGGAGGAGAAGTACTCTCGAAATAAACTACTGAGCAGGATTGAGACCAAAGAAAAAACTATGTATCAATGCAGAATTATTTTCATGATTATAAATGTTATTAGAAAGGGTATTCAGAAAAAAAAAATCAAACTTGAGTTTTGTCAAGAACCATTCCTGATTATGTTCTTCTAGCGCATTAATATTTCTGTTCCAAATTATGCTAACTGTATATATACTAATAGCTCTAACTCATGTATAATTCGATTGCTGCTACGATGGAATCAGTAATACATAACTTAACTGATTAGTAATCCATATAAGAGTTTCATAACTTAGCATCAAATTCTGCAATTTCTAGTTGTGTTTCTCCTGGATTTCTGCAGAAGTAGTATAGTAGCAACAGAGCAATTAATACACTATCCAACAAAATAGTCCTAACTGTGCTATCAAATGCAACTCTAAGAAAGAACAAGATATATTCTTTCTTGGTCATTTCATCGAACACCATGAATGCACAGTTCGCACTACAAATCAGCAACCACACGTTCAGGAAAATAAATTGAAGAAACATTACACTGTAGCTTGCTCACCACTACCGGCCATGGCGACGACCGATAAGCGCGCTCTGCTGACCGCCGAGAACGGCCATGGCGGCGGCGGTCCAGTCGCCGTGTCGTTCAACACCAATGCCATCGTCCTGCTCGCCCTCCTCGTCTGCGGCCTCGGCGCGGTCGCGCTCCACGTCGTCCTCCAGTGCACGCTTCACGTCACGTCGTAGGCTGGGATCCCTGTCGTTGGCTCGCCGGCGCCGTTACCGGGAGCGGGAGGCGTCGAGATGAGATCGATTAGAAGGGGAAGAGGCATGAGGTCGATCGACCCTTCAGGAGAGGACGAGAGGCTAACTTTTTTGCATTTTACTCCTTCGCTAGATCATATTTTACATTTTAGCCCTTCGCGGGAAGAGCGTATACACGAACCACGCAGCGCCACGTGGCCTCGCTAATCGCACGCTAATTTGCATAGATTTCGATAAATAGAGATGGCTTTTGCCCTTGAACTTATCTGGAGTGCTGCTAGGATAAATAAAAACTTATATTTTCTGCCACGCTATATTATGTTGGTGTTCTTCTATAAGGTCTTGTTCGGTTAATCCCGGTGAGACCTCTTCAATCCCCTTTAAACCGAATAAGGCCTAATGAAGATGAAGATATGATCACAAAGTTAAGGCGCGCAAAACAATGATTCAATGAAGATATTAGCACATGATTAATTAATTTTATATTACTATAAACTTGAAAAATAAATTCATTTATATTCTAAAGCAACTTTTATATTTATATCTAGAATTTTTTTGCAACATACTCCCTCTATCCCATAAAAATCAACTTAATACCGGATGTGACACATCCGATTTTAGATTCGTATTTTATGGGACAAAAAGAGTAGCGTTTAGCAGTTTAAATAGCGTGTTAATGAAAATCGAGAGAAAATCTATATCTTAATCGAAAATAATTCCACGTAAACCGTCGACGCTTACACACTTAATTATCTCATGCCAGGAAAAGTCGCTCTCCAGTAGGTGACACCCCAACTAGGGCCACCACTAAGCTGTCACCCATGCATATGTAAACGCATGCTTTAATTAACCCCGTATATTATGTTCGAGCACTAAGCTATTTTTACCTACGTTATTCTCTTAATCAATCACAACAATTTTCCTTTTAATTGTGCATCTACTTTCTCTGGTTAACATATCACAATATTTTTATAATCATTTTTAACTACTTTCTTAATAGCTATAACTATCTTAAAAAAAAATATTTGTATTTGGATACGGAGAGAGCACTATGCTATCCAAACCACCCGTTGCATCGTACATGCCCAGACCAGAAGCCACCAGTATGAGGGTATCAGGGTCGTTGAGGTCTCTCCTCCTACACTACACGGCTCGTGGGGGCCATGGGCCGCCGGGGATCACGTGGTGGCAACTGGCAAAAAAGCCCACATCGCGCGTGGCGCGGACCAATCGCCGGCCCTCCGTGCGGCGGGGGGTCGGGTGGGGGTGGGCCCCGGGCCCCCACGCTCACGTGCACGCCGCACGCCGCCCCGTAACCGCGTTCCGCTGTCCCTCACCCCCGTTTCCCCGTCACCTCCACGTGGGCCCCACGATCCACCACGTGTCGACGCCACCCCAACCCGCCGAGCACGAGCACGGAGGTCACTGACATCCTGGCCCCACCCCACCCTCGCACGCCGAGGTGGGGAAGGAGGAAAAAAAATAAAAATAATCGCACGCGCCAAAATTAAAATACTGGACGGAGCAGTAGCACAGTACTCGACGTCCGAGCGAAAAAAAAACAGAGAGGCGTGGGTTGATCGCAAAAGCAATAGGCTCCTCACGTGTCCCGCTCGTGGGGCCCACCGCGCATGGGTGCCCACGTGCAGCGTCGTTGACGTGGACCGAGCCGAGGGGGGTGGGGCCCACCCCGGCGGAGGGAGAGAGACACGCTTCGTGGGGGGTGCCCCCCACGCACACCCTAGTGGCTAGTGGTGTGGGGTGGTGGTGCGAAATGACGAGACTACCCCTGGCGGGGTTAGAGCAGACGCGGCGCCGCGGTGGTGGCATGCGCGTAAATAAGCGGAGATCGAGGGGTAATACGGTGGCGAGGCAACCCCCGGTGCTTTGTCAAAGCTCACGCCACTGCGGCCTCCACTACCCACCCACAACCTCCTCCCCCTCCTCCGCCTCCGCCTCCGCGTGATCTCTTCTCGCTTCACGCTTCTCTCCTCCTCTCCGCGGCGGCGAGAGCAAGGGCGAGGCGGGCGGCGAGGTGAGAAGGTGGGGGTTTGGGTTGGTATGGCGACGGGAGGAGGAGGAGGAGGGGGAGGGATGGGGGGAGGAGGTGTCGGAGGAGGAGCGGGGGCGGCGGGGGTGGGGGTGGGAGGGAGGATGCCGACGTGGAGGGAGCGGGAGAACAACAAGCGGAGGGAGCGGCGGCGTCGCGCGATCGCCGCCAAGATCTTCGCCGGCCTCCGCGCCCACGGCGGCTACAAGCTCCCCAAGCACTGCGACAACAACGAGGTCCTCAAGGCCCTCTGCAACGAGGCCGGCTGGGTCGTCGAGCCCGACGGCACCACCTACCGCAAGGTACCCCCAGATCTCCCCCCTCCCCTCCCCTCTCCGCCCCACCGGATCCGCCGCGCAGGCCGCCGCCGCCGCGGCGACGATGTGAACTGTGATTCCGTTTTTTTTTTTTTTTTTTTTTGCGCCGTGGAGATGCACGTGGTGGCGACTGGCAAAGGTGGGGTGAAGATGCCGCCAGTCTGGACCCGCGCACGGGTGTGGTGGGTGGGTGGGGCGCGGGTGGTGGAATTTCCGGGGGGAATTTTCGCGCGGAGAGCATTGCAGTTCGCGGATTCGTGGAATCCTTTGCTAGGGCGATTGTTACCACCACTCCACCCGGTGATTCCCGCTTTGCTTTTGTTTGCATAAGCAAAAGCGGCGGATCCTGGCTCCTGATTGGCCGATGGGATTTGTGGTGGAGCGGGGGATGCATGAACTCGGGGCGTGTGTGTATGTGTGGATCGGATCGGCCTTATGCTTGCGTGATGTTGACCTTGTCTTTGCCCTTGGATTTGGGGATAGATATGCGCTTGTGTTAACATAGTGGTTTTGTAACGACGATTGACCGTGAGTATCTGCTCTTCAAGACTGGGCATTAGCATTTGTGTTGTTGCATTAGCAAGCGTTGCTAGGTTGTCTCTTCAGAATTTCATGGCTACTGCTGATTTGCTCTTCTAGAACTGAAACAATACAATTAGTACTACTTTCGAATCTGCTGATGATTGTAAATTAATGAATCATAAGGTCATTTTTAGAGTTGAGTTGAACAATGGGGCATTGGAGTTGCATGATCTATAAAAGCTTGGAGGTTGTTTGTGTTGTTAGTTCACTCACCTTGTTCTGTATCAAATGTGCTTGTCTGCGTCCCAAACATCCTGAGAAACAATGCATTTGACTTAATTTCAGCTAATTGAATAATTTGATGAATGATTTTATTTATGTGTAACCGATTGTGCCTTTTTCCACAGGGATACAAGCCTCCTGAACGCATGGAAGTGATTGGGTGCTCCGTATCACCAAGCCCGTGTTCCTCGTATCAACCAAGCCCGCGGGCATCATACAATGCGAGTCCTACTTCCTCCTCATTCCCTAGCGGCGCATCCTCCCCCTTCCTTCCTCACCCTAACAACATGGCCAATGGTGTTGATGGTAATCCTATCCTCCCATGGCTTAAAACACTGTCCAATTCTCCATCATCAAAGAAACATCCACAGCTTCCCCCACTATTGATTCACGGTGGTTCCATTAGTGCCCCTGTAACTCCTCCATTGAGTTCACCAACTGCTCGCACTCCTCGCATGAAGACAGATTGGGATGAATCAAATGTCCAGCCTACGTGGACTGGTTCGAACAGTCCCTGCGTGGTGAACTCCACGCCGCCCAGCCCCGGACGCACAATGCTTCCGGACCCAGCATGGTTAGCTGGTATCCAAATATCATCAACAAGTCCATCATCACCGACATTTAGTCTTGTGTCATCAAATCCATTTAGTGTCTTTAAAGACGCGATTCTGGTGGGCAACAATTCATCGAGGATGTGCACGCCAGGGCAAAGCGGCACATGCTCCCCTGCGATTCCTGGCATGGCACCACACCCAGATATTCATATGATGGATGCGGTTTCTGATGAGTTTGCATTTGGAAGCAGCACAAACGGTGGCCATCAGGCGGCTGGTCTGGTGAGGGCGTGGGAAGGCGAGAGGATCCACGAGGACTCGGGATCGGACGACCTAGAGCTGACTCTTGGAAGCTCTAGGACAAGAGCTGCTGCTTAACAAAAAAAAAAAAAACTAACCTGGAGGCATTCTTGTCTGTAGCTTATTTGTTCGTGTTCATTAGTTTCTGAAAGAGAGACCAATCGTGTGGTTCCTTCAGATAGCTTCAGTTGTGATGATAATTGTGTTATTTATGTGAGGCACGAGCTAGAGAGAAAGGGGGCTTTAATTCGGCCAAACCCAGCTGTGATATGGTAATCTCAGCTGGCTGTAATTTTAAAGCCCCCCCTTTGTTGTGACAAATGTAAATTGATGTGAGAAATCATGCAAAATTCATGGAGCGTTCAGCTCAACGAAGCATTCATTTGCGTTCCGTGCACGGACAGCAAGGCATCCACATACTTTTGCCGAAGCCTGCTGCTTTCCTCGAGCTCCACGGCGGCGATGGCGGTGGTGGTCGACGGCGTCTCGCCGCCGTGGTCCAAGGAGGCCGTCGTACACCTCCTGTCCGGTGAGCTGGTGGTGGTGGTGATTGACTATTGTATCATCCTTGCCAACTCGTGCACTACAGGGTCATTTTCAGGCTTAATTGAACGTGCCATTCGAAGTCAGCAAATGCAGCTGTGAGAGCACACCTGTGCCGTCCTTTTCCACTGCCTTCAAAACCAAATCTTGCCCTTGAAAAGCCAGACCACACTTGTACTGTCTGTTCTCCGTGTGAGCATAACAGCAGGAGTGGTCGAGTACCTGATAGTAGTAGTAACAAAAATTTTTTTAGACCCTGGGATTTGACTTAATCAAATGAAGAATTCAGTAGCCCTGATCACGTAAGTATTAGTGTCACAGCTCACCAACCCTGCCTGCTGAAGAACGGCTTGGAGGAGACAGAGACAACTAGGGCAAGTGGTTTGCCAAACTTGCGCAATGATTCGATCAACCGTGTTCTGATTGAGTCTTTGGTTGAAAGGTAATTTGCATTTTCAGAGGGTTAATCTTGACTTGTGGTGTTCGAGAAACCGCCCCTGATTTCTGAACATTTAGTACAAGCCAAGTAATTAGAAACATATTATAGAACTTTAGTTGTGCTGTTTGTTGGAATTAATGAATGGGCCTTAGCCCACTCGAAGATTAATTCTTTGGAAAATCACAAAAGCCCACCTCATGGGATGGCATGCATGTGGAGTTTAGTACCACCTTGCTTATTCTAGGAGAGGGGGACCTCCTTAAAAGGGAGGATGCCCTCCTAGCCACTTGAAGCATGTGTGGTGGAGAGAAGAGGGGAAACACACGCGCGTGCTTGCTCGCCTCGCCTGGCCTGGCCTGGCAGGGCAGGCGGCGCGCGTGCACGACGTACGCGTCGAATGGTCCGAAAAATTGGCTCCTCACCCTTGCGCAGATGCAGCCTCCTTTTGCAGTTTTGTTTTGCTGCAAATTCGGATTCGTTTTGTTTTGGAAACGTTCCGAAAAATCCGGTGCGTGCAAACGGCGTGGAGTCCGGATAAGTTACGCGCGACTTATCCGGTTCGGTTACGCGCAGTAGAGATCGTGCGGGCGCCCTGATCAAGCGACCCTTCTCTATATAAACCGACCCGCCGTCTTCACGCAATATATGCGAAAATCAATCTAGGGTTTGCCTCCTACTCTGTACTGCGCCGTCGCTCGTAGACTACTCCATCCCGCTCGCCGGCGTGCACCAGCGATCGGGAGAGCAGGTCTCCGGAACCTCTGCCTTTGACGTCCTGCACCGGGAGAAGGCGGCAATAAGGTTTTTGGGAAGCGCTTCGCGCGACTGCTCCCTGTTCGTTCGCGACGGCTCGCCTTCCTCTTCGCTCGCGTGTTTCGTGCCTTCGTAGACACCTGCGAAAAGTTTCAACCAAGCAGCCGGTCTTTTCGTCACCTCGGTACGTGTTCAATATGTTGCGCATATTTGATCTGTTCATGTTATTCTGCGTAGTTTACATGTGTAGATCTAATGATGCGTTCATACTAGTTTTCATCTGTAATGTCATGATTTATTCATGGAATAAATTAAATCATTATATGCCCATAATCTCAACACTGTTGTCTTCAGTCCATAAGCCAAGCACTAGTCTCCGAGCTGTCTCCGAGTAGGCTGGACTGCTGTATATGCATATGAAAAGTTCGTTTGTTTTTACATGGATGGTTTGTCATGTCCTGAAAGTCTGAATTTCATCTGTTTTAGTACAAAAAAAGAGAATGACTTGAGAGTTGAGATGAATTCAATTAGGTAGGAAAAACGTACCAGCAAGAGTATATTTGCCAGATTCTGATTTTAAAATTCGTGTTAATCCAACTTCAGATGGCTTTCGTCTTTGCACACGCCTGCCTGCATCAACACACTCATGGTGCTATAAAAGTCTAGAACATGATGCAGCTGGCCTGGACTAGTCTTTCACTGTCTTTGTGCTCTCAATTCTCAACAGATTGATAGCTTTGCCATTGAGTCAGGGAGAGAGATGGCTGGGAGAGAGGATGGAGCAGCAGCAGGAGCCATGGAAGAAGGGCAAGACAGCAAGGAGGTGAAGTGTGAGAGTTCAGAGGATGGAAGCAGCAGCAGCAGCAGCAGCAGATGCCATGGCAACGACGTGATCTCCGTCCAATTCATGCAGAAGGTACGTATGGTGATGGTCGTTGCGAACTTGCGATACACGGTCTCCTGGTACTACCCCGTTGCCGTACCTGAACTCGCAAACTGAAACTCTGAACTTGACACCCGTGTCAAAAGCATATGGTTTCTGACTTTCTTCTCCATTCCTTTTCAGCAGCAGTAACACGTTTATAGTAATTCCGTTGGCGATTACTACCATCTGTGACTTTTTGACTGTGGAGTAGATTTCTTCATGTAGACTAATTCAGAAACATCATTAGAGATTCCTAGTGACTGACTGACTGACTGACTAATAGGGATGAAAGCGGTCAGCCTGCTATCCCGTATAAGAGCCCGAATGCTAGTTCATTTTCAATCCACTGCTACAAAAATTAGATGCAAAAAATACAGTTACAGTTGTGGTTTAGGGGACAACAAGCCTGCAAGCCCGCCCTGCTTTCATCGATCCCTACTGAGTAGTACTGGCTAACCGTTGCTCTGAATATTTTCGCAAACTGAAACTCTGAACTTGACATCCATATGCGACTAATTCCACTGGGGATTACTGTCATATGTGACTTTGTGAGTGTTCATTTCTTCATGAAGACTACTAACTCAGAAATGGCATTAGACTATTAGAGAGGGAAATATACGGTGGAAATCATATATCTAGTAGAAACCTGAAAATTACCGTTGGATTGAAAAATAAACGTTTGAGATTCGTCCACATCATCAAGAGTAAAAATTTTACTCCTAGGTTTACTCATGAGTAAAAATTTTACTGGACGTGAATGAATTTCAGACATCCATTTTCTAATCCAACGGTAGTTTTTATGTTTCTACAACATACGTGGTTTGCGCTACATATTTTCCATATTAGAGATTACTCGCCTGACCAACTGTAACTATGATTGATCCTTCTAGATCAAATTTTCAACGAACATTGATTGCTGACACAGATCCATGGTGCATGTGCATGAACAAAAACCTGCTGATTCTTGCGGAAATTCTGGGGACATATTTCATGATATTCGCCGGGTGCGGCGCCGTGGTGGTGAACCAGAGCACCGGCGGCGCGGTGACGTTCCCGGGGATCTGCGCCGTGTGGGGGCTCGTCGTCATGGTGCTAGTCTACACTGTCAGCCACATCTCCGGTGCCCACTTCAACCCCGCCGTCACCGTCGCCTTCGCCACGTGCGGACGCTTCCGGTGGAAGCAGGTAACAAAGCATTTTCTTGGATCTGAAAATGACATCCCAACCAACGACAATTTTTTTCCAGCTTTCTGTAGCACAAACGGAGTTATCAGTGGCACTGTAGACTGTCCGACAAAAACAGATTTTTGGTTTCATGGTTCGCTTATTGGCTGACCAGCCGCATCCAAAATTTAAATTCAAAAAAGTTGATTTAAAGGTTTTTGTTATATACGTGTGTATAAAAAATATACAGTATACAAAGTTTGTATACGTGTATATAAAGTTTGTATACATATATAGTATTAAGAAATAAAAAACCAAGAAAAGAAAAAAAAGGGAAAGAAAAAAAGGAAAAGAAACGAAAAAAAAGAAGGAAAACAGGAAAACCATATGTGGGAATCAGATCTACTGTTTTTTTCCATTGCATAGGAATCGGACAGCATGTTTTTTTGTCGTTGTTTTTCCCCATTTTTAAGGGAACCGGATCTACGATTTTTTTTGTTTTTTTCGCTATTTTTTTTCTCAAACTCTTTTTTTTTGCTTTTCCCTGTTTTTAAGGGGAATCGGACTTCTTTTTTTTCGGTTTTTTTCGCTATTTTTTTTATTTAGACGGACGGAGGAAACACTTTGTATTTTTTAAGTAGTAGAGATAGAGAAGAGATATATTTTTTTAAAAAAAGTAAAGTAGTATAAGTAGAAGAGAAGATTACGGACAAGAAATTTTTTTAGGGAGTCGTAGCTTTTCTCTAGGAGTCGGACCTTTTTTTTTCTTTTTTTCATGGTAGAAGTTTTTTCTCCTTTTTTTCTCGCTTTTTTTCTCCACCGGGGAGTTGGACGTTTTTTTTTTGCCGATTGATTTTTTTTCCTCCTTTTTTGTTTTTCTCGCTTTTTTTTTTCCAAACGGACGACGGAAATTTCTTTTATTTTTTAAATAGTAGTAGATAGAAGATAGATAATATTTCTTTTCTCCTTTAACATTGGCTTTTAGATTGTAAAGAACATGGATGTAAAAGTTTTTAACTGTCAATTAAAAACGAGAATTGGAAGGAGAGACATTTTGCTCCAAACATTTTCTAAGAAGGAATTGTGATCTCGTTGATTGAAAACCACACACACCACTTAACGCTGTACTATTAAGTACATCTCTTTCTACCCGTCAATTATTTGTGGTTGCTTCCTTCAATTTTTCCAGGGCTTATCAACCGTGGATCAAACGATGGATCGGATTATGTTTCGGTTAAATTTACTGCCAATAACTCATTTGTGGTGATCAATGTGTGTGTGTGGTGCAGGTGCCATCGTACGTGGTGGCCCAGGTGCTGGGATCCACCATGGCAAGCCTGACGCTGCGCGTGGTGTTCGGCGGCGGCGGCGGCGGCGCGCGCGGGGAGCACTTGTTCTTCGGGACGACGCCGGCGGGGTCGATGGCGCAGGCGGCGGCGCTGGAGTTCGTCATCTCCTTCTTCCTCATGTTCGTCGTCTCCGGCGTCGCCACGGACAACAGAGCAGTATAAGATCGAACACCAAAACTAACAAATTAACTATATATATATGCATGATGATCGATGATAATTTTGTGGTGTACAACACAGATCGGTGAATTGGCTGGGCTCGCTGTCGGTGCGACGGTCGCGGTGAACGTGCTCTTCGCAGGGTATGTGTTGAAGTAAATCATAAAATTTCACAGTTAACTACGTGCTGTTGATGCCGCATTAGTAGTAGTTGTTCGGTATTCTTTTTCGTTTATGCTTATACTTATCAGCCAGTTTGAATTTTTAAAATTAAATTTGAAACTAATTTTGTGAATTTTTTTCATCAAAGTTTATTTTTCAGCCTTTACTTTTAAAGCGCTAAAAACCTGTATATAAAAGTTTTATTCACAAATTATCTTTTTTTTATAAACACGTCGTTTGATTTATTCCACGAATAAGCTAAACGATGAGGCCCCTCATTGTTGTTGTTGCTGCTGCTGCTACAGTGTGTATTGCATTGGGGGTTTAATTTGCAGGCCGGTGACGGGGGCGTCGATGAACCCGGCTCGGAGCCTTGGTCCGGCGATGGTGGCGGGGAGGTACGGCGGCGTGTGGGTGTACGTGGCGGCGCCGGTGAGCGGGACGGTGTGCGGCGCGTGGGCGTACAACCTGCTCCGCTTCACCGACAAGCCGCTGCGTGACATCGCCAACACCGCCTCCTTCCTCAGGAGGAGCTCGCGTAGGAGTTAGTGATAGATATATAGACAGAATTGAAGCCGTTCTGTCTCTCGAATTTGCAGCAAAAATCCAATCACCGTGATGCTAATGTTTTTCATGCCCGTTGCAAGTGTAAATGTGTAATTAACGGCCCAGGCAGGCAGGCAGGCGGACCGGCCCATCCTTCGGTTGATTTGGTGAAATTTGGGCCGAGGCGGAATGAAGTATCGGGCCGTGATGTCAGAGATGCGGTGGGCCCATAGTGGGCTGCGCGAGCGGCTAGTGGGGTCGTCGTGCACGTACGTCGGTTACACGATTCTCTTTTCTTTTTATTTTTACCGAACTAGGTAAAAACCCAGAAGTTGCAACGAATATTATAAAAGAAAAAAAAATACAGTATAGTCGGTCGATTAGATATATAATGTCATCTTCAAAGGCAGCCATACTAAAATATGCTGCTATGCTGGTGGATCATCTATTCTTATCCTCTTCATATATTTCCACAAGTTATATGGTCGGACAATACAACGTTGAACACTTCTAATTCACCTGACACCCACATATATATTTGTGTGTGAAACCCCTTGCAATTTCTAGAGTTAACAATTCTCTTATTCATTCATGTGTTGTGGGGCTTATGGCCCCCACATGTTAGTTTGTGGTATTAAAGGCAGACTCGAATACCACACTAGCATCACTTAAAGCAGTATATATACACCAAAACATACATATACTACACTCGGACATATAAGAATATATAATAATACATCATTTGACACGATCTCGAAGATACAAAAATCAACGGTAGATTCATATCATCATTGAATTCTATTAAAAACGCACCCACGTGCAAAACATAATAACTTTGGTTGGAGGTTCCCAGTAGAATTCAATAATTAATGCGTCTTTGTTTTGTGTGGATATTTATTAGCTTGTGTTTTCTTTAGCTTTGCTGGTGTATTTTTTAAAACTTGTTTTTTATGCTAGTTTGTGTGAATTTGTATAATAATTGGCTGTAGCTCCTTGAGCAAAGGCTGAGATTTTATTCCATTATCTAAAAAATGCAAAACATAATTGTGAGCATAAGAATCTTAAACCTGGTTGGTGGTGGAGTCACTCCATCAACGTACCAATGGTGCTTCCTCTACACATTTTTTTTCTTTTTCTAACTTGATGATCGGATAGATTATAGATACTAGATAGATACCCCGCGCTTTGCTGAGTGATATTTTTATTCTACCAAACAGTATTTGGTATACATTGAAGTGTTATTCTTGCTTTGAATGAGGAAATAATATGGAAAAGAGACATGAATGATTAATCTAAATGGACTACATGAAAACTTGATAGCCAAAAAAGGCACATTCAGAATTATACATACAGTTGATCTCAAAGAAAACAAAAACAAAATCACCTTCAATTGAGATCGATGTACATACAGTGAGATGTCAGTGCTGTAGCCACTTGTAATTATGAATTAGAACTTGCGCAGTGTGCAAAAAAAGTTATCTGAGGCTAAATTAGAAAAATAAAGATCAGACATAATTTGAAACAAAGTAGGATATATTATGAAAATAGATGCACAATGGAGACACGATTTTTACGTGGAAAACCCTTATAGGAAAAAACCACGGGCGCTGACCAACAATAATCACTATAGAGGAGTTGGATACAAATGCGGGGAATACATTGGGCTGTTGCACCCTTCTTGTGCGGCTTACGAGGGATATATATAGGAGAAATATATGAATCCTAGTGGGGAAAGATTTAAGAGTCATACTAGTAAACTAATCATAATAGTCAAGTTCTATTAGTAAACTTATCCGAATATATTGCAGGCCTAAATTTCGGATCACATATTTAACAAAATCTCCACCTTGATACGAATTTCCCAACATAAAAATCTTCAATCTCCAAACAACCTCACATATGAGATAAAATCACTGCGCGGCAAATAGCCTCCATGACTATACTGTATCACCCTCGATCCAGAAGAGGTAGACTATACTTCAAACTCGCCATTGGGAATAAATCCTGAATCTGCTAGTATAAACCGGTGTGAACCTAGCAGAGATGCAAAATTGATGCACAAACTTTAAACTCACCATGGGAATAAAATCTTGAATTTGCTGGCATGAATTTCTGTAATCCTAGCAGAAACGCGAAACTCTTGTGCTCAAAACGGAGTACTTAGATCTTCTTATTAACCTTCTGATACACTGGGCAAACGGACGTAGCAATTCCGCCGAAAATTTGACCACCCTCATGTGATTTGGACAGGAACCTTCCAACTCCCTCTCGATGATTTCGCTTGTGTGTCCTGAAACATGTATGCGCAACTGATAGATTGGTGCACGACAGTATTAGCATCTCCTCATCCCGCTTCAAATCATCACTTGCCATAATGAGAATTTGTATCTCAATCTTGAAACGGTAGATCAAATTTCAAACTCGTCTTGGGAATAAAATCATAAATCTGCCAGTATAATTCGTTGAATCTTAGCAGAAACGCGAAACACCCTAGATGCATAAAACGAAGTATTTTGATCTCTGTGCAGAACCTGGTAGACTTGGCTTTGTGAACATGGCAATTGAATTGATTCCCTAGTATACACAAGCTTGGGTGCGTATAACAATTTCCCCTCCGAAAAAATCAGACTAGACAGGAGCTCTCGGTTAATTTTGCCCCGGGAATCGTGCGTGATTAGATGGCCTCCTGCTTTTCTTGCGCTGCTCTTTCTGCGATGGCTGTGCAGCGGCTACTGCTCCTTTTTCCTGTGCAGGAGGACGGCGACGACTCGGACTTGCCGAACCTGCCGATTAGTAGGGCTGTGTTTACATCCGAGGGTAAAATTTTCTGGCATATCACATCGGATACACGGATATACTCCTCCATTTTTTAATATATAATGCCGTTGACTTTTTCTCGCATGTTTAACCATTCGTCTTATTTAAAAAAATTACGTAATTATAATTTATTTTGTTATGAGTTGTTTTATCACTTATAGTGCTTTAAGTGTGATTTATATCTTATACATTTGCATAATTTTTTTGAATAAAACGAATGGTCAAACATGTGAGAAAAAGTCAACAGCGTCATCTATTAAAAAACGGAGGTAGTATATTTGAAATATTAAGTGAAGTTTAATAATAAAATAAATTACAGATTCCGTCTGTAAACTGCGAGACGAATTTATTAAACCTAATTAATCTGTCATTAGTAAATGTTACTGTAGCACCACATTGTCAAATCATGGAGCAATTAGGCTTAAAAAATTCGTCTCGCAATTTACACGCAATCTGTGTAATTAGTTATTTTTTTCGTCGATGTGACAGGGTGAAAATTTTTGGGGTGAGATCTAAACAGGGCCTAGATTGATTCTTCAATCGGGAGAAACACGCCGGCCGCCAGGACTAGTAGATCTAATCTTCAATGCTTTAATACCACTTGTTATAAAAATTGATGTACAATGGAGACACGAATTTTACGTGAAAAACCCTTACGGGAAAAAATCACGGGTGTCGACCGACAATGATCACTATAGAGGAGTTGGATATAAACGCAGAGGATACATTGGGCTATCGCACCCTCCCTGTACGGCTTACAAGGAATATATATATGGGAGAAATCTATTGAGTTTTAGTGGGGAAAGACTTAAAACATATTTAACAAGATAGATTTATGCCGAAATATAAAGTTGAATGCAAAGTCTCGTACCCACAAATCTATCCTAACAAAATATTGTTCTATACAATCTGGCATCGCTGCAACCTAAGCAAGTTAAAAATAGGGTGAATAGCCAGTTCAGTCCTTCAACTTTTGCTCAGAGGTCGAATTAGTACTTCATGTTTTATAATGTCCAAATAGGACCCTAAAGATTATCATGCGGCTTAATATAGTCCTTAGACCCACTTAAAACGCCACATGGACATGCCACGTCATTTGTGCATGTAAGATAACATTTAAATGTCCATTTTAACCTTCAATTTTCTATCATAAAACAAAAAATGTTAATTTTTTTTATCTATCAATGCTACATATTTTTGCCAATGGTCAAAAGCTTTTTTTTTGTGTTTTCTCAATAGTTTTTCTTTATTTCCTATGAAAACATAAGGGTATAAAGGACATTTAAATATTGAATTTACATGCATAGATGATGTGGCATGTACACATGGCATGTTTAGAGGGTCTAAGGACCATATTGAATCACACAATGAATTTAAGGTACTTGTTTGGACAATACGAAATGTCAGGGACTAAATTGATCCTTAAGTAAAAGTTCAAGGATCATGTTGGGTATTCACCCTTAAAAATACATAATCTAAATAATTTTCCAGCATGAAGCTTGGATGAACAGAAAACTGCGGGATGTATACTTTGTACTTCAGATTCATATATGCACCAAAAATATTGATATCTTGAGCTCATAATTATAGTTAGGAATCCATGCGTTAACCAAAACAAAACATTAGCAGTAAACAGAAGGACCATAGAAATTCGAGAGAAAAGGGAAGGGGAGATAAGTAAATAATTACCTGTGCTTGCCGTCAATGATCGATTAAACAGGGTTGAACAACGAAACTAAGCCAATAAGATTGAATTGTAGGCTACGTTTCTCAGAGTAGGACCCTAAAGTAATCTAATATCTCACTTTGTGGAGCAACTGTGCGCAGGATGTACTAGTAGCAAGCCTACAGAAGGAGAAAGAGCACCATGGCAAGATGGTCCAAAAAAGTATGCAGGCAACATGCAACAAATAGTCTCATCAAATAAGTAATTCTATGAAAAATATTTGAAGGGGTCTGCTTTACCTCATAGTGCAGCGACAAACACTTTTATTGGCTAATCAGACAGTTGGATTTTTTTTCCGTAAGAAACATTATACATTTTTATCGAACTAAGAAATTTTTGATATTTGACGGACAATTTCAGAAAGAAATCCGAAACCAATCTGTAGCATTAATAATGGTTAATAACGGTTTAGTTTCCAATTTTTTTTCTCAAAAACGTCACATCGAATATTTGGACATATGCATGGAGCATTAAATATAGATAAAAATTAAACAAAAATTTATTGCACAGTTTGCATGGAAATCGCGAGACGAATCTTTTGAGCCTAATTAGTCCATGATTAGCCATAAGTGCTACAGTAACTCACATGTGCTAATGATCGGCTTAATTAGGCTCAAAAGATTTGTCTCGTGGTTTCCATGCGAACTATGAAATTAGTTTTTTCATTCGTGTCCGAAAACCTCTTCCGACATCCAGTCAAACATTCGATGTGATAACAAAAAATTTTCTTTTTGCGAACTAAACACACCCTAACATACCTGATGGGAGGTTTGCAAAATCCGAGATCAAGTAGGCGAGTAAAAATTTTGAACAGGGGCTAATCAAATTCCTGTGCATCACTGCAATGATGATCGGTGGCACTTTTCCCTGCTTGATCAAATCAGTTGATGCTAGAGCTATTACATCCTAGGCTTCAATTCAAATAACTTGATGATATCATGGTGGAAACCACCTTGGAAAGAGAGATTGAATTCTCTCTGTTTTTTTTCAACAATGAACTGTATTCTCTCATAGGGGAAAACAAATTAAATCTGCAACTTGACGATAGAAAATCAATAAAATAACCTTGTCATTACGGAAGAGAAGCGGCCAGGGTAGGTAGAACATCACTCGAGCCAGTTGCCTATTGTCAAATAGTATGAACAATGAAAAATGAGAAAAATGAAATAGAACTTGGCTGCTTGTGAGGATAATGATGACATGCGAGAGATTCATCAAGCGATCGATCTTCTGATTGATTTCAGAAAGACGAAACAACTGTTCGAAGCTCTCAAACATATGCAAAATTAGTTGATCTAGGCGAGGTGCCGATCACAACAGATCGTGGTCGGAGAATACAATCACGAAGGCCTTCAAGATCAGATGATAAAGCCAGGATGACATGCCCTTTAATAACTGGCATCCGTTGGCTCTTTAGTACTCCCACCGTCCCTAAATATTTGACGTCGTTAACCTTTTTTTAATATGTTTGACCGTTCGTCTTATTCAAAAAAATATAAGTAATTATTATTTTTTTCTATCATTTGAGTCGTTGTTAAATATACTTTTATGTATACATATAGTTTTACATATTTAAAAAAAATGAATAAGACAAACGGTCAAACATGTTTTAAAAAAATCAACGGCGTTAAATATTTAGGGATGGAGGAAGTAACTGGCATCCGTTTCCACTTTTGCGTGCATCACTTGAAGGAGGCGACCAGCCACGACGTGGGAATTCAATGGTCAGGGATGTGGGACGCCACAGTTTAATCTTCCATCCAGTCAACCATGGAGATCGCCATGTACGTCCTTATAAATGCACACGTCCATCTTACTCCAATGAGCACCTCCACGAGACTGGAAACAATTAATTAGCTGTAAATACAAGCATCTCGTGCCAAGTATATGACTTTAATTTAGGTGAATAGGTTCCACTACAAGAAACCTAACCATTTAAGATACGCACACTTCGAGACGAAAAAACTCATATCGATGAATTATATATTATAAAGATAATAACAAATAATTTAGAAAAGCACTATCTGTTCAATGCTTATGTAGAACGTTTATTAAGCATCAATATCTTCTACAATAAAACCTTTAATTATGTGTTAGCTGCCCCCCCCCCCCTCAAAGCTATCCTCCATCCCCGTGCCCGATCTAGCGACGTTGCTGCGCTCTCCCATCTTCATGGCCCACGACCGACATGCTGTTGCCCTAGCAGCCTAGCTCCCTCTAAATTCGGCGAACTTCCCTTCCACGGTTCCACCCTCACCCTTACCCTAACTTTCAACATTGACTTGTCAGAGTTTGTTGAAGCATGTTTGGACTTCGCTAGAGCTAGAAATCAAAGGAGGTTTTAGATCACAAACAGTGAAGCAGATATGAAGGTCATGAATACAATATTTTGGTTGGATTGTTTTTTCTCATATGATGTTTAGCGAATTCAAAAATTCTTAGCAATTGTTATTTTCCTCATACATAAGTCTTGGATTGAGGGTTTTTTTTTAAAAAAAAATCCACGGTCCACATAGGCCACCCTCTAGATTTGTACACGGGTGCGCCCCTCACCCTGAAGAATTTTCTTCCTGAACTTGAAGAAGAGAACCTAAACCCTCAGCAAGAGTTGGATAAAAATTAAGATTTTTGTGGCACGCTTTTCAAACTGCTAAACGGTGTGTTTCGTGCGAAAACTTTCTATATGAAAGTTACTCTAAAATATCATATTAATCTATTTTTCAAGTTTGTAATAATTAAAACTCAATCAATCATACGTTAATACCATCTCGTTTTGCATAAAAAAAACTTTATCTTCATCTTCATCTTCAGGAGAAAAGAACACCATCATAGCTGAGCCGGTGGAGATCAGGAAGTTGGACAGAGTGACAGAGAGACGATTCCATGTGCGTCGAGTTAGCGGGCGATTTTATTCCTGTGTGATGTCGATGTGATGATATGATGCAAAATGCGTTTAGGGATCCATGGCCATGGATACATAGCGCCTCACTGTTCAAGTTTGAACGGTCTTTTGTGATGTGCGTACGTGTTCATAGTGTGTACTAATCCTAGCCAATACGTACCTAGAGGAGAAATATGTAGATGGAATATTGGAATTGAAGTATCAATAGATCACATTCCTTTTATTTTGTACTACTCCATAAAGCCACTGCTCACTCCGTAGATTATACACATTCTAGTATTTCGAATTAGAGTTTGTCTATAGGTCCATGGTACTGTTACGATGTGTTTAATTTAGTTATAGGTTACTAACTTACTATATTTTATGATTTATGATTTCATGATAGAGAGAGTACATTATTAGACCGGCCTGTTCGAACCCACTGGTTATTCCTTTAGTTAATTATTAGGAAGGGTCACCGGCGAGCGGCGGCGGCCGGCCGTCTGCAAGAGCTAGCTAGCTAGATAGATACGCCGGCTATATACATAGCTAGCTATGCCGTGACGGTGGCCGGAAGCGGCGGCCGCCGGTGCCGCCCTCGGGCTTGCAGGTGAAGAAGGCGGCGGCGACGGGGGCGCCGAGGGCGTGGTCGTCGGCGAAGCCGCGGGTGGAGAAGTTGTGGCGGAGCAGCGGCGGCTGGTCCACGCCGCCGCGCGCCATCTGCCGGAACAGCACCACCGCCACCCGGTGGATCCCCGCCGCTGGCCGGGGGCTCTCGTAGCACACCACCTCGCGCCCTGCAATGTGCAATGACATATTATTACCAATTTACCTCCGTGCACCATATGCACACATATCGCCAAATTTACTTGCTGTGCAATTGATAGTGCATGCATGCAGACATTCAGGCAATTAATTAACAGTACTGTTAGTTCGAAGATATTTGTAAGCTAATTCCTATATATATCTATAAAGTTCAACTCCACTAAGTGTAGGTAATACTAATTCTCTCTTCTCTCGCGAAGCCATATCAACTCAATTGTTTTTAATCTTTGAATGATTCATCAAGGGTGTAAATTACATCTCTTCATATCACCTCAGTTGTTTTTAACTTTTGGATGATTCATCATAGGTGTAAATTGCATATCTCTTCCCCCTAAAAGGCACACCATACAATCAATCATTTATAACTTTTGGATAATTGATAAATATAAAAATATATATAAACATATAAACACTTGAAAAAAAATTGTATAGTAGGTAAGAAAGAAAATTTTAGATATATCACACAATTCTCCCACAGCAACGCACGGGTACCCATCTAGTTTATTAGGGATGATGTACAAGGCTAGCTTAACTAGATATACTCCCTTCGTCCTAGAATAAATTTATTTTTTTCCTCTCATTTGTTCCAAACTAAGTTTATTTTTTAAAGTAATCATTACATAGAAGTTTGTAAAAATATGAAATAAATATATTAGAAGTAGATAAAGAGAGAAATAATTGCATTATTGTTATTTGATAAAGTGGGGGTATTCATTATTTTTTATTTTATATTGAGTGAATAATGAATATATATTTTGGGGCAGAAAAGTACAACAGAACAATTTAAAAAGAGTATTTTATTTTATTTTATATTGGTATGTGTGGGATTAATGGTAGAGGTGAAATTGAACGAAAGATGATTTTGATTGGTTAAGATGACAAAGTAGGTGCATAAATTAAACAAGATAATATGAGTACTGATCGTGATGCGGGAGCAGATGCCAAAAATAACTTATATTTTAAAACAAAATTTAAACTATATAATTTGGGAGGGAGACACTAGGAAGCACAAACTCGAGCAAATTATTGTAATAAAAAAAGATAAATTATTGCAAACGAAAAAGATAAATTACTGTAAAAAGGACAATTATTGCAAACAAAAAGGAAGATAAGTACTAGATGTACGATCGACAAAGAAAACGCTATAAAAAGTTGAAAGTTATTGTCAGGGACACGCGAGTCCTTTACATATGCACAACTCACAACTTTCGTATTTTCAGATTAGCTTTGCTGCTGCAGCGCGGCACCTGAGTTTAGCGAAACACGGTCATCGGCTATGTAAAGATCAAATATCCAATTACATGGTTCTATTTATGATAGTTAGATTCAGACTTTTGCTGTATATATTCATACAGCAAATGATGCATTCCTGCTTATATCTATAAAGGACATTTAATTTAGTATTTCTAAGATCAAGATAAATTAATATACTATACACTGATGAAACTTAATTTGCATGATAAAAATAGTTGCAATTACAAACAGTTTAGTAGTGGATAAAACATGCATGACAGAAATTTGCTATGACAGTATTGAATAAATAACTAGATTGATGAGTGTAGTATGTGCTACCGCTAGGTGTTAAGTAGGGTAATCAGGGCACTTCTATAAATCAGATGGTTGATTTTGGCATCTCTACAAGAAATACAGTATATGCATGATCCATTTCCCATTTTAGCATGCACTAACAGCATCTAACGTACTAATTGTTTGAAGATCTCATGACCGTTTTGTTTTAATTGCATATTGCATTGCATTTGATGGTAACATATGATATGTAGATATATTCGATCACGCATCTCGCAAACACAAAACTGCACTAAGAGATCTCATGGAAACAAAAAAAAAATGAATGTGCAGTTATCAACTGATTCAGCTGACAGTGTTAACGAATGTTTCCCCATACCATAGTTCGCATCAGTTGTTCCAGGAATATCTGTCACCAACCTGTGCAAGCAAACAAACTAATGGTCAAATTCCAAATAACCATGCTTACGTCCACGTACTGAAGTTACTGATCGTTCAGAGTTTTTCAGACATCTACATATATGCACGCTGCATGCAGTACAACAAATTAAAAAGGACAAATAACGATAGATATGATAGATCGATCGATCACCAGTGTAAGTACTCTCTCAACGTCGGATTGCTTGGGTTTGGAGCATCTGGATCCACCATCACCTTAATTTGCATGAATCAGACATATACACAGCAAATTAATTAATATGTAGTCAAGAACACAGCTAGCATCATATATACTTCAAGAAATTAAAGTAACATATATATACTGACGATCGTGTAGAACTGGTGGAGATCCCCTCCGACCTCGACGCTGGGCCTCGCCGACACCGCCGACGGCCGGAGGTCCTCGCCGTTGACGACCCGCACGCCGTTGTACATCACCCGGAGCGTCACCTCCGGCGAGAACAGGTCCACCACGTCGCCGATCACCCGCCCCAGCACCAGGCTGTTCGCCGACGACATCTCTTCAAGCTAAATAAATCAGTTGAAACTACAGAGATTTCAGTATAGTTAAACAATTACCCTTGAGGACGTACAATTGGATTGGACTCTGCTCACATTATATAGAATAGATAGCCAAGGCTGCGAGCGTCATAGTCAAGAATCGAATGACATCGTCGCTGCATCCACCTTCGAAAAAAGATATCTTCGATGCATCCAAAAAAGAATCTTATTCTGATGTATGAAGTGCTACGTCATTCCAGTGCATGCAAGTACGCAATATATATGGGCCGGCCGGCTAACTCTTTACGCATGGGCCAGAATTTTAACTAGCTCTATATTCTTATTAAAACGATTTTATGGAGCTTGTAAAAAACAGCTTCTACATCATACATAGGAACTCACGATCACAAAGTTCATTTTAGTGGGTAAGTGTATTGGTAAGATGAAAGTGGAACGGTATTTGTCATATACTCCCACTAGTGGAGAAACCCTTATTTATCCCGGTTTGCAACCCCCTATAATCCTGGGTTGCAAACTAGGATCAAGAATTCGGTCCCGAGTGAAATAATCGGGATTAAAGATACATAGTAGTTAATATACTCCCAAATATAGAAATTAATATGACTCAAAATTTATACCGGACATCAACATTTCCAGGCCATTGATTCCAATGCACGGGAATTCAAACATTTTTGAGCAATCATGTGCTTACAAGAGGAATCTAAGCAATTTAAAATTTGAACAATAAGATAACTAAAAGGTTTTTTTTTCTCGTTTACCTTAATCTTTGCTAAATAACACAGAAATACTTATATTTAGAAACAGCGGGAGTAACTTTCACATGTGAAAATCAGATTGCTAATTTATTATTTTTATTCCAAAGAAAAGAAGCCACTCTCGCTCTCAAGACTAAAAATTCTCACATTAGATAAAAAGAAAAAGATATTAACCGTCCAATTGTGATATATCCAAATTATAACGGTGTAAATATAGTTGTATATAAAATATGATGGCATCTATAAAAACAGAAGTTAAGAGTTCTATACAATTGTATCTATGAAAATATGTGTTAAGAGTTGTATACCAAATCTGGTTTTTCTATTGTATATAAATTACAATTATATATCAAATGTTAAGTGTTGTATACAAATCCACTTCTACATTAATTTATCTAACCTCACACAAAGTTGTGTGGGTCAATTCACTAGTTGTATCTGATATGGATTCTTTATTGAATAATTTTACAACTTTTAACCAAAATATCAGTTATTTCTAAATTATATTTTAATGAATACTGTAGAAGGGTAGTTTATTACAATAAGAAAGATATTACATCTCATAGATATGATCGATTGAGATAAGGTTGATAAGACATCCAAAAAAATGAAACAATATATATCCCTTGTAAGCCGCATAGGGAGGGTGCGACAGCCCAATGTATCCCCTGTGTTTGTATCTAACTCTTCTATAGTGATCATTGCCGACCAGTGCCCGTGGTGGATTTTTCCCGTAAGGGTTTTCCACGTAAAATTCGTGTCTCCGTTGTGCATCTATTTTCATAACATATCCTACTTTGTTTCAAATTATGATTGATCTTTATTTTTCTAAATTAGCCTCGATAACTTAGAAAACCTAAATTCAACTACAAAATTAAGTTTTAAATTCAAATTTTGGATATAACTATTTTTTTGAACGAATTAGCTATATAAGAAACCAACTAGAGTTCGATGAAAACCTGATTTGATTAATTGTCGCAACATATGTAAGCAAATGAGCAGAGCCATAAAATGATTATCCAATTTTGATAAGCAAGAACTAAGAACACTACTGATTTGATTAATTTATAGACTGCATTTTGAGAATTACAAGAAACTTCAGGAATTCGAGCAGAAGAATTTTGTTGAAACTCACTGAAATTGGACTGGTTCTTGTGAAAGTTTTGTAAAATTGCTATGTTTTAAAAGAATCTTAATTTGGACTAACTTACAAATTATTCAAAAAGAAACTCTGCTATGACTGCATGTGTTGTTCTATAGCTATATATCTCTATGCCACAATCTCTAGAAGCTAAGCCATCTCTACTCTTTTTTTAACAGATACATGCAGTCACAAAGAGTTCCTTTTTAATAATTTATAAGTTAGCCTGAGCCAATATTCCTTTAAACAATAGCAATTTTATAGAACTTTCACGAGAACCAGTCCAATTTTAGTGAATTTTCACAAAATTCCTCTGCTCGATCGAATGCCTTAGGGCCTCATGGTTTTCCCTGGTTTTAAAGTTGATTTTGATGTTTTCAATGTAGTTTTTTTTCAATATTATAAGTCGCTAAGAACACATACAAAAAGAATTTATTTTTTTCAATTATTTTTTTATCACTAACAAAAGTTTTACTTTTAAATTATTTTTTATCACAAATAAGCTGTTAGGATCCATAAGCAAACCTTAACTTTCTAGTAATTAACAAAATGTGAAGGACGGATCGAAGACAGGAAGTCTGTCGGCACTCGGCTGTCGTTAAAGAAAGTGCTGGTCTTTTTCAAATGTCACCTCGGCTACCTCCAAATCTACTTTCACTGAGCTCGCGGTGTGATGCACATGCTACAGTAGATGAATCTTAAAATATGTACCTCAGATCGCAGGACACAGAAACCTACGTTATCAACAAGGTTGGAGGAGTCTTCCGATCGAGCGCCCAATACCCCCAAAAAAAAATCGATCGATCAAATGTTTCAGTTAACCAATGAGTGAAACATCAAGTTATATGGTGAAACGAAAAACTACCAACTGAAACATTTAAAAATTTTATGAAACATGGTGAAGATACACGTTGAAACATGTTCCTATCACATATGAAACAACAAATGTTAACGGATTGAAACATATGTTTTTCTTTCATCAAAATATAATCATACGATATCTTGTTGTAAAGATTTAATTACAACAAATACAACGGTGTGATCGGATCGTAGATTGGATAATTAGTTTAGGAGAAAAATCATTTTGAAGCTCGCTAAAATACATGCATGCATGCATCGATGAGGTGGAGAGAGAGGAGAGAGTAGTGGCATGTAGTTTTGGAAATTTTGTGAAACACAATGAAGATATATATTGAAACATATCACTACCACGTATGAAACAAAGAGTGTTAACGGATTGAAACATACATTTTTCTTTCGTCATAATATAATCATGCCATATCTTATTGTAAAGATTTAATTACAACGAATACAACGGTGTGATCGGATCGTAGATTAAATAAATAGTTTAGGAGAAAAATCGTTTTGAACATGCATGCATGGATGAGATGGAGAGAGAGAGAGGAGAGAGAGTAGTGGCAGGTTGTTTCGAGAATTTTGCGAAACACATTGAAGACATATTAAAACATATATTTTTCTTTCGTCATAATATAATTATGTAATATCTTATTATAAGTATTTAATTATAACAAATACAATGGTGTAATCGAATCGTGGATTAGATAAGTAGTTTATGAGAAAAATATTTTAAAGATTGCTATATGTATGTATTGTTGGAGCAAAAGAGGAAGCGGTAGTACACTAGTTGTTAGTAGTACACTGGTACCAATCAGATATTTGTTAGTAGTATACTAGTACCAATCAGAGCCCGATGGATTGGTTCACCAATTCGGGGCATTCTCCAACAAGGTTAGCTCCCTCATTGGTTGTCCCAAAAAAAAAAGCAAAAGCCAAAAAAAATATATTCAACGTAGTTTCTTTTTTAGCATTGGTTTTTAAGTCGTTAAGAGCACAAATATAAAAGCTTTACGCATACATTACTCTCTCCGGACTGATAATACTTGTCGTTTTAGACAAGGGTGAGGTCAAACTTTAAAATCTTTGATTATGAATCATTTTAAAAATATTTGTCTTTCAAATATGGTGACTACAGGTATATATTAGTCTTAAAAAGTACTTTAATAAAATCGTATATTTGTTAACACTTTTATACATATTATAATAGAAAATAATGGTCAAAGTTGTTTTTTTTAGACCGTGATCTTGTCCAAAACGACAAATATTATCAACCCGAAGGGAGTATTTTATAGTTGTTAATAAGCCGTTACTTTATAATCAGTTTAGGGGCAACCGATGAGGTCCTAGGATGCCAACTAGTGTAGAAAAAGTGTGGCTACTGTATTTCTTCCTTTGTTTCATATATTTATTTTTTTGAAACAGTTTAAGTATCAATGTATCATGTTGCATATAGCTAGAGGCATTATGCAACTTATCAGGAGTACGCTAACATGTACTTAAAAAGGGATAGCAAAAGCAATACTGAAGAAAAGTTTTCAAAAAAGAGAGAAAGCAATAATGAAGAAGGCAAAAAGCCAAGATGTAGTGGGCAAGTGGCAACCTACTTAGCAGAAAAGTCAGGGCATGCATCCTAGGATATCTGATTGATCAAATTATCAAATTATTCACATGGGGATAGAATATGCAGGGGCATTGTTCATTGGTTCATATAAAAGGGACATAGCTTCACAGGGTTGGCCAGCTATATAAACCAAAACAACTTATTAGCGAAAAAAATTTATAGGTAAAAAAATTATGTGTCCTTAGCAACTTAAAAAAACAAATGTTGAAAAAAAATTACGTTGAGAACACCCTAAATTCTCCAAAATTAAGTGAGACGCACAAACCACTACTTTTTATAAACAATCTTTCATAAGTGGTATGCCAATGTTGGCATAAGTCCAGTAAAGAATGGTTTGTTATCTTTTGAAACATGTGTGGTGTGTGTTGTAGTCATAGCAACCAAACAAACACTTGTCTAATAAAATATGGGACACCTATCATTTAATACGGTAAACAGTAACAGCAAACCAAACAGACGAACATTTTGCGAAAGATGAGAAATCTACACACTGATCACTGATTGGGCCGGGCTCGCTAGGTCTTATACAGCTAATCAAATTAAGGCCACTAGATGCTGCAGGTAATAATTAAAAAGAAAATTATTACGAAACAAAAAGGCAGGATTCCTCGGGTGCTCACATGGTAAAGGAGGAACAAAGCGACAAAATCTTTCTGGTTAAATGTATTGGAGACACAACGTGAATCACAGACGAATCAACAAGCTGAAAGACAAAATGTGAATCGGCTTGACTTCAGGGTGGCTATAGCAGTTAACAAGAGCATGGTCAACATTCTACTAAGTAATGGAGTCTCTGCTAAGTAAATAATTATCTCAGTAAACCCTCATACAAAGCAATGTACTCTCTAATCGTCAAAAGAAAGCTCTAGCTAGGGAGCACAAGCACACCAAAAAAATGACTTTGGGGAAGTTTTTGTCTTGTTTAGCCCCTTATACACTCATTAACTAAATTAGGATACATACTTATCTTTATGATAATTGATAGCTGCCCTTCTCAGAATTTGGAGGTTGGAAAAACACTCTTCACGTCTTTTTAACATTCTTCCCTTGATTATTTTACTACTGGTATTGGTAAATAGGGTTTGGCCTACGATTTTTTAAGGAGCATTTGCATTCACAATTCCAAGGAAGAAAGAGGGGTAGTGTTGGAGCAAATAACATTATTAATCACATATTGGTATCAGCAAAGATGCCCTACCTTTGTCTGGAGGGACCAATTACTAGAAACTTCTATGTAAAAAGTCAAAAAAAGGGCATACCATATAGAATTTTGCAGTATCCTGCTTTAGATCTGGAGAAGTGAACGGAATAAATGCACCTGTGTTGCCCATCAGCATCAGAATAACGTTACGTACTTGAACAGTGTGATTGATCAGAGTACCAATGAGGAAGAAAACATGTGCAGGGGAAATGAAATCTGTTGTCTTTTACTATGTGAAACTAAAAATGGAATCAGTTGCCTTTTACTATGTGAAACTAACTGGAATAACATAGTTTGAATCCAATGGATATGTAAGATACAATTTAGGGATGCAAAAATTTGAGACTTTAGTTACTAACCATAATTTCAGTAAGTACTTTAGACATGAAAAATAATATAGAAAGACATTTTATTCAAGAGACAGGTAAAGCAAACAAATTGAAGTCACCAACTGATGCAAACGTCAGCTTGTGCAAGGAAAGAAAATGGTTACAATTACTAAAGCATACCTGGTAGAAACAACTAGGAGCAGAAAAACTGAATAAACTTTCCATCATGTTTGATTTCATATCCTTCACTTTGTGGCATCGGATAACAAGGTCTGACATGCCATCAGGCACGTTAACACTCCATCATGTTTGATAGTAGAAGACAACATGAAAGAAAAGAATATTATATGCTTACATCGTGTAAAAAATTAAAAAAAGACAGAAAAATAAGATATCAGTTAAGCAGTTTTCAAGATAAGAATGAATGACAGTTTGTGATGGCACCTACCCAGATTGTTTCCATCCAAAAACCTCTTTATCGCATCAACACCAAAGGAAAGAACTGCACCTCTTTTGCGTGAACCTCTCTGAAGCTGAGGCTTGGCACATTAAACCAGTCACAAGAGAGCCCAGAAGGAATATAGCAATTATATATATTGAAGCAAGCTTTGTTTCCATGTAAATATTTTTGCTCGACATTGCAGTGATTCAAAACAGTCAGAACTCAGAACTACAAGGGTGGCATATAGCATCAGATATATAATGTTTGCAGACTTGGGGCTATCGTTTACATATTACATAAATTCAGGTTGCAGTTGATGGTGTAGCGAATTTTAACGTGATATCCTTATAATTTAAGAGAATCAAAGAAAACACAATCAATCCAGAGCACAACTGTTTGTGTTCATAAAAGAAAACATAAGTTCCACTCAAGATTGGACAATGATAACTAGAGAACTACGTATATGCCTTATACAGGAGGCTCACATAAATAACCGATGGCCTTAATGACATAAAAGATATAACTTCACTCCATGAACACTAAATAAACTCCCAAAAGCTACAAACTCCTTACTTATTACATGAGCGCGAGGCAGGTGACAAATACCTCAGAAAACAGCTCAACAAATGTATCGCTCAGTTTGGACTCAGTTATTCCTCAAAACCATATATAGTTTTGTTCATGCTCTTGCTTTCATGGTATCCTCATGCTAGGTAGATACCTGAAGCATAAAAAATAGCCACACAATTTTATAAGTAAAGCCTGTGTATCCATTTAATTTAAATTTAGCTAGTACCAGTATGTAATGGAAAAACACATACTAGAGCAAATTAAGCTAGCTTCACACCATCAAAATAAGAACCACACATAATACATGTTGGATTGAGCCACCAGAATGCAAAATGTGTAAAAATGACTTCAGGAGAAAATGATCCTCTGTCCAGAGTCTCCATTGAAAAAGTAAGGGTTTTCTGAAGCCCATTGAGCTCAAACATATTTAAAAGATCAAAACAATGAATGAAAAACAAGAGATTAGTCCAACGAACAACCACAATTTAAAGTTTGAGTAATGGCGTTCCTTTCATGAGGTCAAATCTCCTACTGTTTTCTGTCAAAAAATTTTCACTCGGTATGATATATAATAATATAACACTCTATTTGTTACCAATCACACCGGATTATGACATTGTCAAATGCATCCGAGAAATTGTAATGTATAGAGCTATATTATGAAACCCCTCAAATGATAAAACAAATATCCGACCATAAATCTCCACAAACTGTAAAAGGACAGGCTCTCAGGGCATTCACATCAACAAGCTGGCATTGATTGAAATAAGTATTGATCTTGTAACACAATCTGGAAGGAATTGTGTGTTCACAAAATGCTTCAGTTAAATATCAGCACTATATTAGTGAAAGAATGGCGAGCATTCAATTCATCTTAGCACAAAGGAAATCTAGAACCTCACTTGCCTCTATTTCCGTAGATATCAGGATTTCAAGATCTAGGGTGTGTTTAGTTCCACGTCAAAATTGAAAATTTGACTAAAATTGGAAGTTTGAAGAAAAAAGTTGGAAGTTTATATGTGTAGGAAAGTTTTGATGTGATGGAAAAGTTGGAAGTTTGAAGAAAAAGTTAGGAACTAAACAAGGGCCTAGTTGACAAGCGACAAGTCGAAGAGACTTAAATTTTTTCAAGCACTCTATGTTTGTAATTCAGAGACAGGATCCCTTTCACAATCAATAAACAAAAAGGAGGTAACTCAATCAACTGAAATAACTCATCAGTCGGTCAGTCCCCCACCTTCACCCAACCACAAACATGCCAGTTTTTTCTTCAGCTGGCCAAAATGGCCCCTCCAATTGCTTGTCGATTCGCTAAGGCAACTAGCTTAAGCCATTTCATCTGCATATCTGCGCTGAAAAAAAATATAGGATAACAGGGACGCGATCTCAGTAATTTGGGAATACATATCTCGGATCAAACCATGTCGCGGATTATGCATTCAGAAAGCGCCCGTGTGCGCAACTGCGCACCAGAACTAGCGGTCAGATAGGGTTTAACATCCGAGGTTTAGGGATTACCGACGAGCTAGCGGGGCCACCACTATGGGCGATCAGCGAGGGTGCTCCCCCGGGGAAGGCCGGAGAAGAGAGGCCGCGGCGGAGGCGGCGGGTTTTGGGGATTCCGTGGCGGGAGTGCGGCCGCAGATCCTGATCACCGGCACCCCCTCTCGCCTACGCCCACCACCGAGCACCCCCGAGCACCGAGCGCCGGGGAGGGAGGCGGTCCGCGGCGGCGGCATGGTCTCCGGCGAGGCGGCGACTCACCGACCTCGCCGACGCGGATGGCCAACATGCCGGTTTTTTTTTCTCTCTTTTTCCCTCATTTTATTTTGGGCCTGTACGGGCTAGTGGGCCGAGGATCCTTGCAGTGTACGCTTCTGCTCGGTTCGACTTGGTTTGCGTGGGCTGTGTGGGCTAGTGGGCTGCTTAGCGTAGGCAAGGTTTGCGTGGGCTTAGTAGGCCTCGGCTCCTTCCAGAGAAGGAAAAGTGCACCGGAGGTCCCTGAACTTGTCACCGAGATACGAAAACGTCCTCGAACCGCAATACCAAATATGCGGGGTTCTCTAACTATACAAAACCGGTCACCAGAGATCCCTCGGTGGTTTTGACCCGGGTTTTGATTTACGTGGCGGCTGAGTCAGCGTGGGACCCACGTGGGCCCTACATGTCAGGTGTCACGTCACACTCTCTTTCCCCTCTTTTCTCATCTCTCTTTTCCATCTCTTCACTCGCGCCGAGCAACGCGAGGCGCGATGAGCTGGCGAGGTGACGGTGGTCGCGACTCCAGCGGTGAAGGGTGGTGGCTGGCTTGGAGCTCAGCGGGGCGAGGCAGGAGGGGCAGCGCGAGCTCCAGACCACTCCACGCGGGGGCGGCTGGGATTTGGCCCACTTATATGTTCAAATTTTGGGTATTTTAAAAAGATATCTGTATCTTGCATATTGGCGCTTTTTTATAAAAAAAAATAGGCACGACTCTCTCTTCTTTTTTTTTCTTTTTTTTTGCAGAAGGTTGGAGAGATGGATTGTTAGGTGTCCTCCTGGAAAGCACACCAGAAATGCTGTAGTGAAAGTGATAATAAACACGAGTCGTGGGATAAATGACAATGACAAACAGGCAGAATGTAGTTTCATTTCGCATCTTTACTAATTTAAAAATAAAGTCGTCATCCTCCTCCTACACTATCGTAGTTCTCACATAAAAAAATGCTTTTAAACATACCACACCAAAAAAAATATTAATGTTTCTACGTAAAATCAACCCGGAAATTAAGTTGGATGAAAAAAAACTGGACCACATAATTTAGTCGAAGCCCTAATATTTGCAGTCCCAATATTACAATTTTCTCTATAATTCCAGTCACGTTGTAATACGTGGCCATGTCATTAATGCACATCAACAACGGGTATTTAAATTTCTGTCTCCATCTAATTTTCGTGTACATATTTCTTTATCTTTTCGCTTATATTTATGTTTATCGGTTAAAATTTGATTTTTCAATTTAAAATTTAGAGTTGATTTTGAGTTAACATATATATAATTTTATTTATAAATTATTTTTTGTTTGTAAATATATTATTTGGCTTAGTTTGTAGGAGTATTTGCCTGCTTGTTTTCAGTAACTCCTTTTATTTTATTTTAGCCTTCAAGATTTGTCCTAAAATATAATATTTTTTCATCAGTATTCTCTTCTCAACCAATCACAATTCTCTATCATTCAATTTTTTTACCTATCTCTACTTCTCAACCAATCACAACCTTCTTACATTTAATTTTATTTATTTTCTTAATACCCATGTTCAGTCTTAAAATTCTTTATATTCTGATACGGAGGAAGTTGTATCAAACTGGAGCAGTAGACGGAAAACCACGTATGCTCAAATTGGCTTCAGCTTGCCGTACGAGTTTCAGTTTGGAAGTTTGAGTGATCATCTCCTACTTGTACTAATAATAAATAAGAGTACTATGAACGCGATTACTCGGTCAAAACGCAATTAGCTGTCGCCAATCTCATTACGTGCCTTTTCGCAAAGTCAGAACGAATTAGTGCGAAACAGTCCTCCATAAATAGCAAAACAGTAGTAGCGACACAAAAAGGCACAGATTTTTTTTTCAGGTGATACGTCAATGATTTGTGACAGCCCAATAGCTTGCAGCCAAGGCCATCTCCAGAATTGAAGAATACTCGAAAAACTTCTCGTACCTAAAATTAAACTAAAACACTTTTAATGTCCTAAAATAACTAAAATTTAGTAATTAGACATAACATAATATTATAAATATAATTAGTGGATGTATCTAATCTAATTATCTAATTATAGTTTGCTATTCTCCTGTTTTATATTATAAATTGTTTGGATTTTTTTTCCGTTACACAAACTTTTTACAATCTGATAAAAATTTTGTAGAAAAATTAACAATATTTATAATATCAAATTAGTTAGAACATTAAATGTAACATTGAATAAATTTTGATAAGATGTTTGTTTTATGTTATAAATATTGTTATATTTTATATAAATTTGGTTGAAACTAATAAATTTTGGTTAGAGAAAAATTCAAAGCAACCTATAATATAATAAATTATATAAAAATTGGAGGGAGTATATTTTAATATGGACGTAGTATGTAAAATTCCTGAATTCAAAAAAGGGCCAAAGGACATATCCGGAGGCAAACTGTATGAAACAAATTGATTTGCAATTTTCTCCACTTTATTTCGTTTTCTTTTCACTGTCCTTAATTTCTATTCCCTCCGTCTCTAAATATAAGGGATTTTAATTAGACAGCCAAAATCACTTATATTTAGGGACGGAGGAGAGTAGTAACTAACACAAAACGTTACACAAATGCAGCATTGCAGCCCCTAATTAATCAGATCCAAAGCTATTATATCCACTAATACAGAGTAAGCGATCACCTAGTAGCAGGCTAGCTAGCCAAGTACATCAATTTACTTCAACGGATTACCACTAATTAATCTCACACTCAAATACTCCTACTACATGTACCAACTCGAACATTTTCTCTCTCTTTCATTTTTTTTCTCTCATTTTGTTGCCGCGCTTCTTAATTAGCATCTCCTCCGGCGTTTCATGGTATGGTCACCGGCGGCGGCGGCGGCGAAGCAACGGAAGGGGTTCTCCGGCGAGGAGATGTCCGGCACGAACACCGCGCTGGCGTCGGTGGCGCCGCCACCGTAGCGCGGGTCCCGTTGCCAGTGGAGCCCTGACGCCGTGGGCGGCGAGGGGAGCTCCGGCACGGCCCAGTGAACTTCCGGCACCTGGCCGAAGAAGTCCTGGCCGCCGCCGCCGCCGCCGGCGGCGGCGGCGGAGGAGGAGGAGGACGACGACGACGACCTGCCGCCGTTCGGCGAGCCGTCCATGCTCCCGATCTTGCCGCTGTCCGCCTGCATGCCATTGGAACGCGCCACGTTAGCTCAAGCTGTGTCTCGCAAAATATCTCATGCCATCGATCGCTCAGATCAGCATGAGCGAATAATGAGGTCATAAATAGATCGATTTTTTAGTAGTATTTTGATTATTCGTAGTACCAATTTGATGAGATATTGAAAAGAAAAGAAAAATCTGACGAGAATTTGGATGCTGACCTTGGACGTGCCGTTCTCGGCGAAGCCGAAGCCGGAGCTGAAGTCGGCGAAGCCGAAGAACTCGTTGAGCGGCCAGTCCGGCGATCCGCCGGCGAGGTTGCCGAACACCGCCGCGGCGGTGCCGGCCGTGACGGGGCCACGGGAGGCCCGCTTCGGCGGGGTCTTGGTCACCACCGGCGGCAGCGCAGGGGTGTTGAACTGCTCGTCGACGAGCGACCAGTCGGGCAGGTTGCCGGTGATGCCGATGTCGTGGCCACCGGTGGCCCAGTCGATGACGTCGTCATCGCTGTAGATCGGCGAGGGGCTGCGCTTCGGCGGCGGCTGCGGGGGCGGTGCCGTGTTGCGCGGCAGCGACGACGACAAGGGGTGTGGGGGGTGTTTGTCGTCGTCGTCGGCGGCGGCGTCAAGGCCGACGTGGACGCCGGTGAGGAGGAAGCGGCGGTGGGCGGAGACGAGGGCGTTGGCGGTGTGGACGGCGACGTCGCAGGCGCGGCAGAGGAGGGCGCGGTCCTCGACGCAGAAGAAGTAGGCGTGGGCGTCCTGGCAGATGTCGCAGGTCGGGGGGGAGGGAGAGGAGGAAGAAGAGGAGGAGGAGAGGAGGGGGAGGCGGTGGTGCTTGCCGGCGAGGCGGTTGGCGGCGTGGACGTGGAGGTCGCAGCGCGCGCAGAGGGCGGCGTCGTCGGCGCAGCAGAGCACCCGCGCCTCCGCCGCCTCGCACGCGGAGCACAGCACCTTCATCGATCTAGCTACCTACCTACCACCACGACTCATCCACGAGGCGCTGGGCGCGCCGCGGGGGGGGGGGGGGGGGGGGCGGGGGTTTGTTCGGGAAGGGAAGGGAAGGGAAGGAGGTTAGTTGGTGGTGGTGGTGAGGGGATGTGGCATTGCCCAAGATATTATTGTCGGTCTGTCTCTCCGCGGGTGTCCACGGAGGGAGGAGCTAGTATACATTCTGACTGCTTCCCGGGGAGTTTTAAAATAGAGTAAACTTTACGAATAGTGCTCCCTCCGTCCTATAATATAATATAAGGGTTTTTAAGTTTTTACTCATAATATTTAATCACTCATCTTATTTAAAAAAAATTTAGAATTATTATTTATTTTTTATGATTTAATTTATTATCTAAAGTACTTTAAACACAACTTTTCATTTTTTATATTTGCATAATTTTTTTTAATAAGACGAGTGGTCAAACAGTACATGAAAAACTCAAAATCCCTTATATTATGGGACGGAGGGAGTACTTTACATATACTCACCCTTCCTTAAATATTTGACACCGTTAACTTTTTTTAGCTCATGTTTGACTGTTCGTCTTATTCAAAAATTTTTATAAAATATGTAAAATTATATGCATACATAAATGTTTTTTTTTAAAAATGAATCAAATGATAGGAAAAAGATTAATATTTTTTCTTATTTTTTTAATAAGACGAACGGTTAAACATATTTAAAAAAGTCAACGGCATCAAATATTTAGGGACAAAGGAAGTATTACTATACATATATATGATTTGATCAAATTATCGTAAAAGTTATATATTTAAAAAGAATATGAATCACAAAATCTACATATATAGTGTCTTATGGCTGTGTGTCTTATGACAGAAGCCGAAGATGTAATCCATTTCCATTATCTAAAAAAAATCTACAGATATAGTGTCGAATTTATTCCAGAACAGATACAGTATCAAATTTATCATAAAAAGAAAGAAAGGTGCTAATTAATTGCTGGATTATGAGATAGAAAAATGTGGAGTCTAAAATTTTAACAAGAATTTTGATAGTCTTCCGGTCCAAATAGAATGTGTTATATCCATCCAAAATCTATTATATTTTAGGAGGGGAAAGTGGATATCTGTATTTTTAATGGTTAAATTGGAACCATACCATTATAATTTTGCAAAGTTTGAGATATGTCATCGGTATCTCAATGACATTTAGAACCCACATGAGTCAATGACATGTGGGTCAGGATGGCATATCTTCAATTTTGCAAAATTATAATGGCATGGTTCCAATTTTCCCATTTTTGAAATATATATTTTATAATATTTTCAAATAAAATAAATACTTAATCGTTCTAAAATAAATCAATTATGTATAGGATGTAACATATTCTGATATAGTAATAAATCTGAATACTGTGTGATAGTATTTTAGGTTGATTTATTTTGGGAGCTGCGTACTGTATGGCGGCACATGGGGGATGTGGGGCGCGTGGGGACTTGAATTGACCAGACAAGGATCGGGGAAGCGGTGGATGGATGGAGTTTTGAGGAGAGTTGAGTTTGGGCCGACGTCTCGCACTGCACGCCGAGGCCACCGCTTTGACCCCTATTCTCGCCCGCTTCGCCCGCCGCCTGCCGCTGCTAAAAAAAGCCTGCGACTGCGACACTGACTGGACAAATCACCGTCTCGCATACATGCACAGTCCTTAGCTTCTTAGAGCAAGTTTAGACCATGTTTAGATAGGACTAAAACTTTCAAGTTCCCTATCACATCGGATGTTTGGACACTAATTATAAATATTAAACGTGGACTATTAATAAAATCCATCTATAATCTTGGACTAATTCACGAGACTAATCTATTGAGCTTAATTAATCCATGATTAGCCTATGTGATGCTACAGTAAACATTCTCTAATTATGGATTAATTAGGCTTAAAAAATTTGTCTTGCAAATTAGCTTTCATTTATATAATTAGTTTTGTAAGTAGTCTATATTTAATACTCTAAATTAGTGTCTAAATATAGAGACTAAAGTTAAGTCCCTGGATCCAAACACCACCTTAATAGTGTAGCCAACTACTAGCTTCAAATCATCTATAGCCAATATAATAACTAATTTATACAATAGTTGCTTACTATACTATTAATACCTGGTCCCACCTGTCATACACACATTACGTCTTGGAGTCCGTGTTGCAGCTGGCTACATATCTGTAGCCCGTTGCTCTTCTCTCTCTTCCTTTATCTCTTTAAAATATCTTTATAGTTGGTTTATAGCCTGCTATTGTACCTGCTCTTAGGCCTTTCTTCTAAACTCGCTTTCACCACACCCTCCTTCTACCCTACTTCTTCCGTCTCAAAATATATAGTTATTTTTAGCACAGTACCTTATTCCAAAATGAAGCTATTTTTTTACCTACCACCTCCTTTCAACCAATCACAACCATTCTTCTTCACCTGCTTTCTCTTTTCAACCAATCACACACTTTCTCCAATCATTCTCATCTACTTTCTTAATACTCGTGCCAACCTTAAAAATATAGGTTTTTTACTGTCCTTGAGGTTGTGCAGTACCAAATCCTGACCGTTGATCTGGCATCATCCAATGGTTAGAAATCATCCGTACCTCATGGTACTGCACCTCCTCATTGAAGTGGTACTATGGGTGGAAGGGTATTTCTGTCCTTTACTGTTTCACGAGAGAAAGAAAAAACGTCGGGAAAGCACAGCAGCAGCGTGGCGGCTGGCTCGAGGGGGACAGCGGCGGGCGCCTGGACGCGTGACAGCGGCGGCGGGCTGGACGACGGCGGCGGTGGGCTGGACAGTGGCTGCGGCGGCGGCTGGAGGGGGCTGGACGCGGCGGGCTCGAGGGGGACGGCGGCGGCGGCTGGACGCGCGGCGGCGGGGGCAGCTGGATGCATGGCGGCGGCGGGCGGCTGGATGCGGGACAGCGGCGGCTGGATGCGCGACGCCGGCGGCCGGCTGGATGCACGACGGCGGCGGCAGCCTCGATTGGCGACGACGACGACCGGCTGGATGGGGGACGGCGACGACGGCGGCGACGACGACGGCGGGCTGGATGGGCGACGGCGGCGGCCGGCGGCCGGCTGGATGCACGACGGCGGTGGCGGCCTCTATTGGCGACGACGATGGCGGGCTGGATGGGCACGAACGACGAAGAGATGTTTTTTTAGTCCGATCATACCCCTGCTAAATCAACGGTTAGATTAGATTGGTACCTCATGATACCTCGTAGCTCATGGTACCTCTTAAAGGATGGGAAAAATGCTCTTAAAAATATCTTCATTTTTGGGCGGAGGAAGTAATATTAAGTGACCCTTGACGGAGGTTTGATATGTCAAGTGACAAGAAATATGCTGCCACCGAGGGCTTACTAAGAAAGTCACCACATCCTCATGAGTATCTATCATCTTCGTTCTAATCTCTCCAAAGCGGAATGGTTTGGAGTGAATTGTACTAGAAAATTATAATATTAACAAATATGATTGCATCCTTAAGAATACGTACGAAGGTAGAGTCTGATATAACACGTACTCTTAGTTTAAACTATCACTTAGAGACTACTTCATTCTCTTATCTTATAACACAGTTGAGACAATAACGTCTCTTAATATTATCAATGCACCATAATATTTTTTATTACTCTTCTTTCCTTTTCTTCATCTCCATATAATTAATTTTTTTTAATAAATATACTAAGAGTCGACTGTAAGCTGATGTTATAGGTAGCCATGATGTTCTTCTTTTCTCCTCTCTTTGATATTATTAAATTAATTTGTTTATGTGGCAACGGAGAGAGTCCGCTAATAAGCTATTGTGCATATCCTTAATGCAACTACCAATAGAATGTTGTAGTTATACAAATAGATACAATACATTCACTAGGCTAGAGAGAAAAACGAGAAGTCTAATTATTTCTCTTACTATAAGAGCCCCACAATTAACTGCATGTGCTTCACTATACTTCTCGGACCATTTTTTTTATGTGAATGACTATCAGGCTTTACCCAACAGTATAACTTTTATATAAAGAAAAAAAGGAAAGAACAAAGACAATTACAAATATTGTAATCAATCCAACACTAATTGAAGTATAGTGGAAATACAGCCCCCTATCAGCGAAACCATGGGCGATCGACAAACTGAACAGCGGGCGATTACTATATGGTATACAATGATGTTTAGCCAAACATGAAAGAAAGCAGTGTCTACCACCATCATAAATGATGAACTAGCTAGCTCCGGCCATCTCTGCCCTGCACCAACCGCGGCCGTATCGATCACAGGCCATGCGGCTACTGGGTGCACTGAAAGCGATTTCTATCCATATATCTATCTTACGGATCTTGCAACTCGATAGCTAGGAGTAGCAGCTGGGGGTGTGACCACCCCACTGGTTATCCAAAGTTGCAGATAATGGCCGGCCATTTAATTTCAGATGAGTTGCATCCACAAACCTATTCAGAAAATGCAGTCACTTTTGTCCTCTTTTCAGTTGTCATCGTCACTCCCGTTAGCTGGCTATTTAGCTCGGGCAAAATGCTGCTTGTTCATGCATGCAATTGTTCATTCATCCTAGATATTTTTGTGTAAGCTAGAGCAGATGATATGGAACTGATGGATTGATCTAGTCGCTTTTTCTTTACACAAGAGATAATGGGATCCAACGCTTTTCATGGGGATCGATGCGGTGAACGTACTTTTAATCGCCACACAGAAATAGGAGGACGCAGATGATAAAAGGGGTTGTTTACATAAAAAAAAATTTAAATTTTTGACGTGTCACATCACATCAGATATTCTATAGAGTGTCGTATGAGGTGTTCGAGTACTAATAAAAAAATAATTATATAATCCGTCAGTAAACCGCGAGACGAATTTATTAAGCCTAATTAATCCGTCATTAGCAAATGTTTACTGTAGCACCACATCGTTAAATCATGGAACAATTAGGCTCAAAAGATTCGTCTCACAAATTAGTCACAAACTATGCAATTAGTTATATTTTAGTTTATATTTGATACTTCTATATGTTAAACTTTCGATGTGATATGAT